TAAATGGTCTGTGTAGATCTGTGGGTAGATCATCTGAGATTAAGCTCAGGTAGGCCCATGCAGACTGCCCATTGGTGTCCCACAAGGCTCTGTGCTTGGTTCCATTCTCTCTTCCCTCTGGAGACTCTTCATTGGTGTCCCACAAGGTTCACTGCTCGGTCCTATTCTCTTTTCACACATCTCACAAGGCTCAGCGTTAGGTCCTCTTCACTCTTCCCTTAGCAGCCTCTCCACTGTTGTTCCACAAGGCTCAGAGCCTGGTCCTCGTTACTTTTCCCTCAGAAGACTCTCCACTGGTGTCCCCCAAGGCTCAGATATTAGTCCTATTTTCTTTTTCCTCAGCAGACTCTCCACTGGCATCCCACAATGCTCAGATCTTGGTCCTGCTCACTTCTCCCTCTGTGGCATCTCTGCTGGTATTCCACAAGGTTCAATACTTGGTCCTCTTCTCTTTTCCCTCAGGACCCACTCCAATGGCGTCACATGGTCTTCTTGTCTCTTCCATCAGGAGACTCTTCACTGGTATCCCACAAGGCTCAATGGAAAAGTCCTTTTCTCTTTTCCCACAACAGAAAAAAACAGTCTCTACTGATATCTCTCAAGAATCAGTGCTTGGTCCTCTTTTGTTTTTTTCAGTAGATTGTCAACTGGTGTCCCACTAGGCTCACTGCTTGGGCCTCTTCTTGTTACCCTCAGGAGGCTCTTCACTGGCATCCTACAAGGCTCAGTGCCTGGTCCTATTCTCTTTTTTCTCAAGAGGCTCTCCACTGGCATCCCACAAGGCTCAGTACTAGGTCATCTTCTCTTTTCCCTCAGAAGACACTCCACTGGCATCCCACAAGGCTCAATGCTAGGTCATCTTCTCGTTTCCCTCAGAAGACCCTCCACTGGCTTCCCACAAGGCTCAGTGCTAGGTCATCTTCTCTTTTCCTTCTCTCCCTGCTTTCTTGGTGATGTAATTTCTCCACATGGCTCCTCCTACCACTGTTGTGTTAATGACACTCAACCCTTCCTCACCTTCCTGCCGTCAGCCACTCAAGTTTCTACTTGTTTCTCGGCACGTCTGGCAGGCATTTCATCATAGTTGGCAGCCTATCACCTGAATTCCAGCAAGACTGAGCTGCTCTGTATCCCTAGAGATATGTGCCCTTTCACTGATCTTCTAATTTCCTTTGAGAAGTCCATGATCACTCTGACCTGTTTGCACTGGAATAAGGAAAAGCTTCATAAGAGAAAAAGGGAAAAATCTCCTGGTCTTTTTTGTAACGAGAACGTTGAAGGTCTAAATTAAAATGTAAGTTGTGATTTTGTATGAGTAAAAGTACAAGAATTCACCTTCAATAATACTTGAGTACAGATCTTCCCACATATTTTAATGAAGTGCTTTCAAGCCCCAGCATTTGCCTCTGGAGTCTGACGCTTCTATCTCTGAACATGATGATGAAATAAGTGTTGGATGCCAGTAAAGCAGGTCATCAGGATGAAAAACCAGAAGAAATCGGTCAAATTAATTTAGGTATGGAAAAATGCTGTCTAATTGTTAAAATCACAAACGTAAACATTTTGGTTGAAAAGTTAAGTTTAACCTTAAAATCTCTTTGCACAAAATGAGTCAAACACTACACATGTATGTTGTAAGCAGTGTGTGATGGGCCATACGCTGTCCATCAAAATTCTGGGGACAAGTTCTTAGCCCCTAAAAAATCCCAGGCTTGTTACATACTAAGGCTTTTTATTCAATAACTACACAGACTTCAATGCAAACTGGCCAAGTTATTGTTAGGTTATAGAGGTGTGTAATAAAACTTTCGGCCTGCCGGTGGCTATGGTCATTTAAGGGGTTAAACCCCTGAAAGGTTTGAGTGCTGGTGAGTGCTGACATCACAACAATATACAACTAATAGACACTGGCACTGTTACCAACATTTTGGCAGGCATTCTTTTAGTTTTGCAGATTGATTTTTGCAAAGAAAAATGACGAGCTTTAAACAGATTTCTGTTTAATATGTTCTGTGTAATATGTTTGTGCAAACCAACAAAGACCCCATTTACAACTGATTATTTAACACATTTTGATGATCAGGATTGTATCCACAAAAATGCAGGTGTAAAAGCACTCAAGTTGTATTTAAAACAGTTTTCAATCAGTGCAACCCAACCACTTCTGGAAGAGAAGATGCTGTACAAATCTAAAGCATCTGTTTCTCCAAGCCACATTTAACTACCAAGTGTAAATGCATGTGTTTAAAATCAGCTCACAATCCAGATACTAGTTACATGAAACAATTAGGAGTAAACAGGGTCAAAGAAATGCGTTTGTATTAAGAACCTGTCCCCAAAATTTTGATGGACAGCGTATGGCCCATCACACACTGCTTACAACATACACGTGTAGTGTTTGACTCATTTTGCACACCGTGAGAGAAAGGTGACTCCCTTTTTCTTTCTCTGAGTGAGAAAGAGAGCGAGTGAGGGGGGAAGAGAGAAAGAGGACTGGAGAGAGTGATAGAGATAGTTATAGAGAGGCTGAGGGAGTGAGATTGATAACCTCTGGGAAGTCTCTCACATCCCTCTCTCGCTGTGGTCAGAGGCAGATTGTGTGGAGGTATGTGATCATCATTAGGGTGACTTTGACAGATCTTGATGTGACTATAGCTGGACTGAAGTTCATGCGTCTCTCCACTGCTCTAAAAAATGAGAAAAAGGACACGGTTTCTGTCTGCCAGGCTTTAAATCACTTTAATGACGGGGCTTCTGGAGCGGCTGTGTAAAATCAGTGATGGAACAGCCTCAGAACCTTTAGGAGGCGGTGAGGGAATGGCCTCAGAATCTTCAGGGGGTGAGGTAACAGTCTCAGAACCTTAGGTGGGTGATGAGGCAGCCTCAAAATCTTTGAGGGGGTGATGGAATAGCTCAGGACCTTTAGAAAGGGAGTAGGGGACCACATCAGAACTTTCAGGAGTGGTGGTGAGGGAACAGCTCAGAACCTTTAGGAGGGGAGTAGGGGACCACATCAGAACCTTCAGGAGGGAAGTAGAGGACCACCTCAGAACCTTCAGGAGGGGAGTAGGGGACCACATCAGAACCTTCAGTAGGAGAGTAGAGGACCACCTCAGAACCTTTAGGTGGGTGGTAGGGAACCACCTAAGAAACTTCAGGAGGGAAGTAGAGGACCACCTCAGAACCTTCAGTAGGGGAGTAGAGGACCACCTCAGAACCTTCAGGAGGGGAGTAGAGGACCACCTCAGAACCTTCAGGAGGGTAGTAGGGAACCACCTAAGAAACTTCAGGAGGGGAGTAGGGGACCACCTCAGAACCTTCAGGAGTGGTGGTGATGGAACAGCTCAGAACCTTCAGGAGGGGAGTAGAGGACCACCTCAGAACTTTCAGGAGTGGTGGTGAGGGAACAGCTCAGAACCTTTAGGAGTAGATGATGATGGAACAAACCCAGAATCTTAGGGAGGTGATAGAACAGTCTGAGAGAAATCAGGAGTTGAGGAGTGAAGGAACAGTTTCAGACCTTTCAGTGGGGGTGGTGGAACATCCTCTGAACCTTTGGGAGGAGAGGGAGATGAAACAGCTGCAAAACTTTCAGGATTGAGGGCAGGGAGCAGCTTCAGACAATTCAGTAAGGAATGAGGCAACTGCCTTTGGGCAGTAGGGGGGGGAGTGGGACAATCACAGAATCTTCAGAGGGTGATGGAACAGCCTCAGAACATCACTGAGAGGAGGTGATAGAGCATCCTCAGAAAATATACAGGGGTGCATAAAAAAGTCTTAGAACCTTCAGAAGTATGATGGAACAGTCTCAGAACCTTTAGGAGGAGGAGGTGATAGAACAGCCTTAAAACTTTCAGAAGGCTGACGGCACAACCTTAAAACCTTCAGATGGGTGATGGAGCAGCCTTACAGGAGGAGCTGATTGAACAGTCTCAGAAACTTCAGGATTTACCTTTACAGAATTCATCATCTGACACAAAACTACTTTAACTCGTCTCCTCTCTCACCCCATCCTGCACTCTACAGTGCCTGCACAGTTATTAAATGTCTCTCTCTCTCTCTCTCTCTCTCTCTCTCTCTGTCTCTCTCTCTCTCTCTCTCTCTCTCTGTCTCTCTCTCTCTCTCTGTGTCTCTCTCTCTCTCTCTGTAGGGGTATATTTAATCAGGGTTATCAGTGCTGTAAGTGTGGAGAAGGGGCCCATAAGGAATGTCTCAGCAGAGTGGCTTTGTGTGGAAAAGGCAGCAGCTCCGGTGAGTTTTACACACACACACACACACACACACACACACACACAAACACACACACACACACACACATCCTCAAAACATACGCTGTAAATACAGCATCAGATCTTTAAAACAATGGTTTGGCAAAAATGTCAGAAATTATATGGTAATATCATGTCATGGTTATCCATGTACCATGGGTTTAGTGGTTTATATGGAAGGGTAATAAAAATCTTTGATTTCAATGGAATATATAATTGAATGGGCTCTGTTACAGTTACCATACTTTTGCTGTTCAGTGATGAAAAAGCATTAAATATTCCAAAAAATAGGACTCAAAGTTTAGGACTCTGGACTTGACCTGAGACTTGCTTGTATTGACTTGAGACACGACTTGAGATTTACATGTATTGACTCAGACTAAGATTTGCCTCTATTGGCTCAGGACTTGTCTTAAGATTTGCCTGGATTGGATCAGGACTGGTCTTAAGATTTGCCTGTATTGGCTCAGGACTGGTCTTAAGATTTGCCTGTATCGGCTTAGGACTCGTCTTAAGATTTGCCTGTATTGATTCAAAACTTGTCTTAAGACTTGCCTGTGTTGACTCAGGACTTGTCTTAAGACTTGCCTGTATTGACTCGGGACTTGTCTTATGACTTGCCTGTATTGACTCTGAACTTGTCTTAAGACTTGCCTGTATTGACTCGGGACTTGTCTTAAGATTTGCCTGTATTGACTCAATTTGAGATTTACCTGTGTTGTCTTGGGACTTGACCTGAGACTTGTATGTATTGGCTTAGGCCTTGTCTTAAGACTTGACTGTACTGACTCTGAACTTGTCTTAAGACTTGCCTCTATTGACTCTAAACTTGTCTTAAGACTTGCCTGTACTGACTCTGAACTTGTCTTAAGACTTGCCTGTATTGACTCTGAACTTGTCTTAAGACTTGCCTGTATTGACTCGGGACTTGTCTTAAGATTTGCCTGTATTGACTCAATTTGAAATTTACCTGTGTTGTCTTGGGACTTGACCTGAGACTTGTATGTATTGGCTTAGGCCTTGTCTTAAGACTTGACTGTATTGACTCAGGACTTGTCTTAAGACTTGCCTGTACTGACTCTGAACTTGTCTTAAGACTTGCCTGTATTGACTCTGAGCTTGTCCTAAGACTTGCCTGTATTGACTCAGGACTTGTCCTGAGACTTGTTCCCACATCTTTTTGACATCTCCACTCAATTTGAAGCAGCTAGTATAGAGCTAAACAGTGGGGTATAAGTTTCCATTACTTGTTTTCTGCATTAACCTTGTAGCTCCAGTGCTAAAACTAATGAAGCAAATTCAGACACCAAGCATGTCTTGGCTGATCGACTACATTTGGGATAAGAGGAAAGACTGGCTAGATAAGATGTTTTACTAAACTATCTCTTCAGCACTGTGCTCTGTTGTGCAGGGAGTGGTGTGAATGCTGAGGCTGTAACTCTGCTGGACTAAATGAGCCAGTGTGACAGTGAACATTATGTTTTTATGTGTTTGGAGATGTGTAATGTTTAACCTGCAGCAGAGTGTGTTAGGAAGGCCAATGCACACGCACACACACACACACACACACACACACACACACACACACACACACACAAAACAGGCTGCACCAGATTACTGCAGCAGTGACGTGTGTGTGTGTGTGTGTGTGTGTGTGTGTGTGTGTGTGTGTGTGCTTCAGGTTCATGCCTTTGCGTGTCTGATTATGTTTGTGTCAGGAATGTGTTGTGGTCGTTGTTTTGCTCAGTCTGTGTTTGTGTGTGTGCTTGTGTGTTTGAATTTGTATATAATATATAGAGTACTGTGCAAAAGCCACCCTTTGTTTATTTAATTTACAGCCAGAACTGCCATTAAGTACAATTTATTCATTTTACAGCATCAGAAAAAAAGCAGAAAACATATATTTAACAAAGAAATTACACAGAAGCCTCAACAACTAAGTACAATATCAAATCTATCAGTTTTTAATTCACATGCTTATTACTTTTGTGCATCTGCTGCCATCCTTCCCTCCAAACCAGTGAGTTACTGCTGCCAACAAAGAACAAAGAAAGAGAAATAAATACCAACAAAACCAACAAGAACCAACAAAATACTCCTGACTTTGTAGTAAAACAAGAGAAAATCAGTTCTAACCTATAGAACCAACAAAACACCCCTGACAAAACGCTTTGATAAAAAAAAATGTCTTTTTGCAGAAGTTCAATATTTCATTTCTTTTGAAGTTCTGAAGTTAAGGTTAGTGTTAAGTTTGGAAAATTATTACATATAAATACTTAAAAATTCAGTACTGTGCAAACGTCAGAGACCACTCTTCACAAGGAGAAGTAAAATAAGTGGAAAAAACTGGAGTTTCCAAAACTGGAGTTCAAAAACTGATTAAACGTTACAGAGAAGATGGAGCTCCTGACAACCACCTGGAAGACCTACTAGACACCAAAACTGCCCCCATCAGATAAACAGCACTTAAAGCTTTCATCTCTGAGAGAGAGGAGAAAATCAAGCTGCTTCAGATCTGAAAACATCCACAGGTGTTTCTGTCCGTCCTTCCACTGTGAGAAGACGACTCAGCGCTGTGGGTCTGAAAGGATGTGTAGCTGATCAAGAAGAACCTCACTGAGAAAAGGAGTCAGACAGAAAGAGAAGATAATGAGCACTAGACACCAAAACTGGACGTCTGAGATGTGGAATAAGTGCGTTAGATGTCTGCATAGTACTTTATATATATATATATACGCTACCATTCAAAAGTATGGACTCACTAAGTTTTCTTACTTAAATACAGTATTAACTAATATAGTGTGGATTCAAATATTATAAATTATTCACCAAGCACTTTCAGATGTTTTATTCAATATTTCAAACAATCGGCAAATAAGACGTCCTTAAATGATACATCATATACTGTACTTATCTATTTACATATGTTCTTTAAGATGAACACTAGAGGTGGACGACATTGCAAAACTCTAATGTTGCAATACTGTGAGAAATGTTCATGATAAACGACGTGGCACAGTATTTGTTTTTTCAGACACATGATCCGTTGGAACAGAGAAAAAGAACCAGTAGTACAAAAATAAGTCAAAAACTATGAATATAATTATTTGTTTTCCAACTAAATATTTCCACACATTCCAACATGTTACAGACATACAAACCAAACACACTTTTAGATTCAATCTCCAGTTTTAAAATATAATAAATTCTGCCTGTTCATTTTATTACTTCATGTTTGTTGTTCTACAGTTTTCTCGGCCGTTTTAGAATCATCTACAGCTCTGTTCATCATTCTGGAAGCATCTAATATTTCTTTATTTTTATTTACAGCTTCCTAGCATCCTACTTTTACATGAAAGTCAAGAAACTGAGCTTTTAGAATCATTATATCAGTACTGATGCACAAAAACTTACCTGTTTTTGTCATTTTTCACTTTTTTTGCATGGTTAGAAAATACCAGCTGCTCTTCACATTGTGTTAAAATTTCATGACTGAACCAATAGAAATGGTTCAAAATGACAAAACAAAACTTGCTTACAATAACTTTCATTTTAAGTTAAGAAAGCTGGTAACACTTTATTTGGATGGTCCACTGTAGATTCTTTGTAAATGTTCAGTATATATTTAAGTGACTAAACAGTCATTGAATGCAACTGAATGTGAGGTTGAGTGTTATTTGGAGGATCCACTGTAGCTGCTTTGTAAATGTTCAGTCTGTCTTTAAGTAACATACAAATTAATATACATTAAATGCAACTGAACTTTAAGTTCAGTGTGAAAAGAGTTTATTAAATCTATTCCTAGACCTAAACCTAACCCTAACCCTAACCTCAGAGCAAAACCTACATCTACTCCTAACCCTAAACCCTAACCATAATGTTGTTGATAATCAACTGAGGATCACCAGAAAGTTTGTCAATAATTTATGTATCTGAAGAGCGTCTATAGGGGACCATCCAAATAAAGTGTGACCAGAAAGAGGTTTTGTTCCAACAGCGATGTTATAGATTTATCAGCCAACAAATTTATACTACTGCTAACATTGATTCCACACTTTTGAACAGTCGTGTATATTGTATAGGTTGTATACATGTTTGCTAAGCGCAGTATAATATAGCCACAGACATTTAAATGCAGCAGGCAGTGCTGTTTAGCTGTTGATTCATTTTATTGTTGCCGTGTTTATCAGATATATTTGCATGTACATCTGATAAAATCTGAATAATTTTCCGCATTATAAAGTTGATGAATGTGTATTTGTGTTCGTGTGGGGTTATGCTGCAGTGTAATAACCCGGAACGTTCCTCCACCTGAGCTCCAGCAAATATAATCAAATATAAACCACAGGCCAAAAGTATGAGATCAAACAAGGAAAGTTTCAGAAGCCGACACAACACGGCTGTTTACTGATGAGGGCTTACCAAAGCAGTTTGTTCCAGGATGTTGTACTGGTGTTGCAGCGCTGTGCTCTTAAGGTCTGTTCACACCGACTCTGGTTTAATAGCTGTTTTTACTTCTTTCATGCTCTCAGTTTTCATTGGCTGTTGGAGGAATCAGGTCAGACTGAGCCACTGACCGGTATAAACTGCTATATTTCTCGGGTCAAAACAATAAAACATTCGATATACTCTGACTGGTCTGAAAATCAATCTGGAGGCGAAGTAGAGCCGTCCATCCACCAGACTGAGAAACGGGGCTAAAATTGGAGCAAAAGTTGTGTAATAATAACAATAATAATAATAATTGATAATAATAATAATAATAATAATAATAATAGTCTTTATTTATATAGCATTTTCATGCCAGTTGCAGCTCAAAGTGCTTTACAGACAGGAGATAAAGCTTAACAATAATACAAGACATTATAGGTATTAATTTAGAATCATATAAGAAAATGACAGATCAAATTAAAGATACATTCTAAGAGACGTAGGATTTTAATTAAATGCCAAGTTTAATAGATACATTTTTAGATGTTTATTAAAAGTGAGCTCTGAGCTTTACAGTCTAATAAAAGCTGAACTGAGCTCCACAGTTTAGAAGCAGATTAACTGAACGAGTCTCTCCACGTTTTCTGTGTTTCACTGAAGGTGTTTGCAGAAGGTCAGTATCTGCAGATCTAAGATCACATGCTGGAACATAGTGTAACCCAGGCTTCCAGATGTTTAGCACTTAATTGAAAATGAGTGCATTAACAGAGCAATGCATGGAATTTATGAATATTCCTTTTGGTGTTAATAGTGCTGATGTGATACACTTTACTTATGTTACTTACTGTACTGTTCATATGGCTACGTGACACCTACATAAGCTTGTCATGACAACTGACATAACCCTACATAAATGTTTATAAATGCTTAATCCAATAATCATTTACTGTAAAGGTTACATTTGCCAATTTTGATCAAAGTTACCTAAAGTAGCCTTTATGACAGATGGCGCCTATCAGAATAAGCATTTATAAACATTTATGTGGGGTTATGTCAGTTTACATGACAAGCTTATGTGGATGTCATGCAGAACAGCACCTTACAGTAAAATGTTACCAGATATGTTCTGTAATAAAACAGCAAATTACTGTGAAGTTGATGTGGAGCTGTCCCGCACAGGATTATGGGAAATAACAGTTAAAGGGCATAAACGTTTTAATAAGAAACATTGAGGTCTTGACAAAATGTTTTGTATTGGTTTTGTCAGATATGTTTTTAGGCATGTGTGTTCAAATTATTATTTATTTATCAAATTATTAAGTTAAAATATCTGTAAAATGTGTATTTGCATTTTAAAAATGCATATTTTGGAAATTCTGTGCACATACAGTACAAAACCTGGTGAATAAATATATGTATTGATCATTTTTATTAACATATTTATACACTTGGTAAAATTAAAAATCATTTTTTTTCATTTTTCAAGACATTACTGTATTTTAGTGACAGTTTATTACTGTAAGAGTAGAGCAGAATAAGAGCTACATCACAGTGATCTTGTGGTGCAGGTGAGTGTGGAGTCACAGTAAACAGCTTACTGTTAACCCCTTAAAATCTCAGGCTTATTACACACTAAGGCTTATTATTCAGTAACTACAGGGGTTTCAATGCAAGGCTGAGCTATTCTTGGGTTATAGAAGTGTGTAATAAAACTTTGTGCCTGCTGGTGGGCCCTGACCATATAAGGGGTTAATATTTTCAGTAGGGCTTCCATAAATTACTGTGAAAGTAAAGCAGCTAGTAGACACATATTTACTGTAATTTTACAGTGAAATTTCTGTAGAGTGCACATTTAAATTGAGTCATCATCACCGTTAGTGCTTTGAATACTCATTTTTTTATATAATAATTTTCTTTACAGGTCAAGCTGATCTGTATTTAATAAAAAGCTCAAACTGGTAAGAAACAAACGTCATTCATGCAAAACTGTGGATGATAAAAAAAAAAAGCTATAACAATTTTATAACTCCCTTTTTCCCACAGATTTGCATGCATGTCATTTATTCCCTACCTGTCTGGAACTTTCCATCTGTGTGATCTTCCATTTGTTCCTCTTTGGGCTTTTTTTATTGTATCACTGGTTCCTTTGTTTGTGCGTGTGCGTCTTATCAGCCTGTAACGTGTACCACAGCCTAATAGGACAAAGTTCACTCTAGAACAGGGTGTTGTAGGGGGTGGAGCTGAACTCTGCACCAGCCAATCAGAATGGCTCCTGGAGTAGGTTGGCTCCGCCCCCGCTACCTGCACTCCAGATACCTCAGCTTAGCAAAACAAACCACAAAAACACCCCGAGCACTACGTGAAGCAGTCAGACTGATCAGATCAGCAGCTCAGTGTGTGTGTGTGTGTATGGAAGTGTGAGTATAGGTTCTGACAAAAACTCCCTCCTAATTATGCCTGTTTTCAACATGCTTGCAGATTCAGGATCCTTCAGGACGCAGGTAAGACATGCACAACTTTAAAGTTCAGCTTTTTTCTCTAAAAAGGCTTAAACACACAAACCCAGACTGTGCAGAAGCTCAATTTCAGTCCGTAGGATTTCAGTTGTGCAGGCTTTTTGTGCTTCTTGTGCCTCTTGTGCTTTGTGTGCTTCTTGTGCAATGCACTGCACACACTGTTGCACCCAAAGTATTGCAAGTGACATTAATGCAAAAATTTTACATTCTCTGGGGCTAAATGCAATAATGCTACACCCTTAAGAAATGAAGTTCTTCAGCAGTTCTTTAGTAAATGCAATGATTATATATAGAACCAAAGAACCATTTGAATGCATAAATGGCTCTTTGCATGGTCAAACGGTTCTTCTCTATGATGGAAAAACCTAAAAATGGCCCTAAATAGCACTGAAAGTGTTCTGCTGCTGTTGCATAGAACCATAACAACTCGAAAAGCCATTTGAATACATAGATGGCTCTTTTTGTGGTCAAATGTTCTTCTTTATAATGGAAAACTTGAAAAATGGTCCTAAATAGCACTGAAAGTGTTCTGCTGCTTTTGCATAGAACCATAACAAATCAAAGAACCATTTAAATGCATAAATTGCTCTTTGCATGGTCAAATTGTTCTTCTTCATGATGGAAAATTTTTTTTAAAATTGCCCTAAATAGCACTGGAAGGGTTTTGCTACTGTTCTATAGAACCATAACATCAAAGAGCCTTTTAAATGCATAAACGATTCTTTGCATGGTCAAATCGTTCTTCTTCATGAAGGAAAACCTTAAAAAATGCTGTTAAATAGCACTGAAAGGGTTCTGCTACTGTTGCATAGAGCCATAACAACTCAAAGAGCCACTTGAATGCATCAATGGTTCTTTGCGTGGTCAAACTGTTCTTCTCCATGATGAAAAAAATATATAAAATGGCCCTAAATAGCACTGAAAGTGTTCTGCTACTGTTGCATAGAACCATAACAAGTCAAAGAACCATTAGAATGCATAGATGGCCCTTTGCATGGTCAAATGTTCTTCTGTATGATGGAAAACATGTTGTATGTAATTCCTAAGAACGTTTTTTGGTCCTATGTAACACTAAATGGGTGCTGCTGTCGTTACAAGTTAAATAGCCTTTACAAAAACCTTTACATAGAACCTTTACATGGGACCATTTAAAAAGTAGTTCTTCAAGGGTTCTTTAGTTAAGACGATGATTATACGAACTCAAAGAGCCATTTGAATGCATAGATGGTTCTTGTCAGTGATGGAAAACACTATGTAACACTGAAAAGGGTTCTGCTATTTGTAGAACCTTTTTTGTTGAGAATGTTGTGCACATAGTGACTGTTTTGTTGTAGTGTTTGGGTCACCACTTTAGTTTACAGTGCAGTAAGTGCCTAGTGTTTAATAGGTAAACATGTAGTGTTTACAGTAATATCTTGGGATGTATTTTGCGTGTGTACATGTACAGTACATGTATTAAAGTATATAGTATCTTACATAAAGCTGGCAGGCCAGTGATATTTGGCACTAATCTAATTCTAGGTCATTAGAATTAGAAGTTAATAGGTAATTATGCAGCACTTACAAGTAAATACATGGTTCATACTTTGCAAGTTGAGTAGTGTGTTAATATGTGAGAAATACCAAGTAAATCTGAGCAAGTCTTGCATTCTAGCATGAAATGCTGCTCTACATACCTTTTCACTTAAGCTACTTTAATGTCCAACATGCAAAGCATTGTGCCTGCAAATAATACATGTAATGACTGCGTGTTTGCATGTTTGTTACTTGGTACTTACTGAATTGTAGATGAAAGATGTTTTGTGTACAGTATTGCATGCTCAGCTTTTGCAACTTTTCCTGCAGTTTTTGTATAGTTGCTTTTGCTACAGCGCAATGACTGCATGCATTTAAGCCTTCCATAGCAAATTTATCTATGCATAGTCTGTACTAACACGTTTCAGTCCAGTTTAGGTCAGTTCGGTTCAGTCCAATGTCAATGTGCATACAAATGAAGATACAGAATAATTAAGAGCTCATTTTACAGGCTGTAATGGTGCAATACAACATGATATTTTACATGTAGAGACAGTGCATAATTAATAACTGCTTAAATGACTGCTTTAACTGCAGATTTGTTATGCATTTATTAAGACTAGGACTTATTAATCTGGAACTACTGTGAATTATTCAGTATCTACTATGAATTATTCAGCAACTACTATGAATTATTCAGTAACAACTATGAATTATTCAGTATCTACTATACATTCAGGATCTACTACGAATTATTCAGTAACTACTGTGAATTTTTCAGTAACTGCTGTAAATCGATTATTTACTATGAACTATTTAGTTACTGCTATAAATGATTCAGTAACTATTATGACGCCCTTTCAGTTCAGTTAAAGTAATTAAATGTAGCTTTATTTATTTTTCAGCTTTTGCTTTGTTTTGAACTCTAATTGATGTTTGCTTTGAACCTGCTGCATGTTGTTAAGGCTGATGAACAAAGTCGTGTTTGCCTCATTTGGTCTGTTGGCTTTTATTGCAGGACCGAACACACAGCCGGCGTGTAGATCCAGGTGAGTGACCAAGAGCACAAACTAACACAGAAAACATGCTCGTACACAATAAAACACACATTCACAGATACAGAAGCATTCACTCCTTTGCTTCACTACGATACAGTACAGTACTACTACTAATGCATCTTAAGCCATTCTGTTCCATATATAAATACAAAGACACACCCAGGAACAACAATACAACAAACATCATATAACACAAACACAAATAACATTACATAACTTTGCTCAATCCTATAGTGACATTTGTCCTAAATGCCCTGCTGATTGAGCTTTCTGACAGAGGAATGAAGAAGTGATTGAACCTGCAGGGAACCCAAGTAAATGCCTCTAGCCAGCCTCAGCATGTTATTACGAGTTTATTGGACCGTCTGCTGCAATGATCCACAGTCTGAAAGCATATATGTTCTTTAGGTTTTAATAAATTGCCGCTAAAGAGTCGCTAATTAGCCTCTTGAGGTACAGTAGCCTTAACTATTAGTGGATACTGCTATTGTGAAAGTAAAAGAATTGCAGTTAGACCAGCCACAGTAAAGAACTTTTACTTTGCATCATAACTTTCTCTCAGAATGTTATTTTATTACAGTATTTATTATTGTAATATTATTTTTTTTACAATAAGCTCTGTAATATTGTATCCACAAATAACTAATGAATATGTAGTTAGTTGTTAACAGTTAAAAGCGATTCTCTCACTTCACTTAAAGCCTCTAAAGAGCTCTTCTAACTCTCTATAAGGTGTTATGTAGAAATGAAGTTTCATTAACATTTAAAAAGCCTCACTTCACTGAAAGCCTGTAATCACTTGTCATAAAGCTCTATAACGTGCTATAGTACATTACAACATTAGTGTTCATAATGCTCTTATATTACAATGTATTATGGAGCAATTATACAAGCTTATGTCTGGTATTGTTTACACCATGTAACACCTAATTAATGCATTTGTAATGCGTTAACAATACAAGCTTCACTGGGAGTCTTACTTTACTACAGTCGTAAATGCCACCACTACTGTAATGTCTTCCCTTCTATGACTTCTGCATCAAATCCAGAAATGTGAAAAGGGTCTTCTTAATGCTACATTCATCGATTATGTCTATTACAAACTCTAAAAATGCTCTGTTGGATAAAACTGATGGATTATAGGCTGTTAAACACAGCATGAATTAATAATAAAAAGCCCAATAGGTGAAGACAAGGCTGAGGTTATTCCTGCTGTAACAATATCATGCAGACCAGATAATATGCTGGCTCTAACTGCACAGAAAGGCTGCTATATCAGACTTTTCCTCCAGATGTGTTAATATGAAAAGCCCGGTGGTCGTGAGCCGTGCTGCTTTCAGAAGCATGCATGCTTTCTTTTTTCCCGGCTGCTGTTCCGTGAAAGTCTGAAGCCTCAGGTCTTCAGAGAGATGCGAACGCTCATGAAAAGGGCAAGATTTTACATGTTACCATGGGGCTGCAGCCAGACAGCAGGAATGTGCTGGAAAGAACACACTGTTTAACCCTTTAGAAGCTTTTCTGTCTGCTTTGCTAAACTATGTAATTACATATTTGTATAATTAATTACATACACTGTAGGTCCACAAGCTTTAGACACCAATGTAAGGGTATTAATAATGAGTTTGAGTTCCTTTGCTGCAGTAAAAGCCTCTACTCTTAAACTAGATGTTGAAGATTGCTGTGAGGATTTGATTGAGCATTAGTGAGGTCAGGTACTGATGTTGGATGGTCAGTTCTGGATCACTTCAACTCATCCCAAAGATACTGGACATGCAGTCTCCTGAAGCTGGTGCCACTGGTTCCACCACTTGGGTGCTCCATGCTATTCCATTCTTTTCTCGCTCAATTGAGCACATCAAAAGCAGAATCAGGCTGTCCGTCAAAATGCCATCACACCATGTCGCACATTTATGACTGGTGTAGAAAGCCTCATTAACTCCATTCTGGTTTAGGTTTTGCTGCACTTTCTATTAGGACTGTGCTGAAAGGGTTAACCAAGCCTGATCGATCTACTAGCAGATGAACCAGACAAACCACTAGTGCAGAAATAGTTGAATATTCATTGGCGTGTTACAGTAGAAGTGTAGGCGTGTCTGTAGACACTGTGTCCTGGGGCTACGCCACCATCAGAAACCACCTACAGTCCCTCCCTCCTCGCGATCTGCCCACTCTCACGCCAGCATTCCAGCTCCTCATATCCATCACTCAACTTTCTGACAGCACTCAGAACTCATAATTACCCCTAATGTTCCCTTCTTCTGTGTTAGCATATATTCAAATGCTGCTAATCTTTTTTTGTGGTGGAACTTGTTCCTGGACTGGAGCTGCTTGCTCCATTGCTTCCCTGTTATGCAGTTTACTTGTTGGGCAGCTTTACTGCTGCAAAAGTTCAGCAGTCTGATATCTACAACCTGTGGATTTGGGCTCAGTGGGATGGGGGCTGAAAGTGTTGGACTCAACTGCAGTTATTACCTTTGTTACTATGAAATATAGGTGCCTAACTTGAGTGTGTTTCCAAGGGCATACTGTTAAAATGTGGTTGAGAAGGCAGAGGTGTGGATGTAACTAGGCAAGCTGGCATTATCTAGAACCAAAAACAATGAGAAAATATTTCTCTGCTCTCAATGTAACCTCAACAAAGAGATGTGGCATTGTCATAGGATGCCACCATTGCCAAGTCAGTTTGTGAGATTTCTGTCCTGCTAGATCTGCTCTGGACAACTGTAAGAGCTATTATGGTGAAATTGAAGCGTCTAGGAGCAAAAACAGCTCAGCCATGAAGTGGAAGACCAAACAAACTCATGAAACGAATGCGTGAAACTTCATAACGTCATTACACAGTTCCAAACTGCCTCTGGAAGCAATATCAGCACCTAAACTGTGCATCTAGAGCTTTGTGAAATGGGTTTCCATGGCCAAGCAGCTGTACACAAGTCTAAGTTCCAGCATTACTGAGCCCCTGTGCGCACAGTGAGCTCCATAAAGACATGGAGTGACGATTTTGGTGTGGAGGAACTCCAGTGGCCTGCACAGAGTCCTGACCTCAACCTCACTGAACACCTGTGGATGAACTGGAACGTCGATTGTGAGCCAGGCCCTCTCGTCCAACATCAGTGCCTGATGTGCTCTTTTGACTGAACAGACTCATGCAAAAATCTTGTAGAAAGCTTTCCAGAGAAGTGGAAGCTGTTGTAGCCACAAAGGGGGGCAACTCCATATCAATGCCCATGGTTTTAGAATTGGATGTCCACCAAGCTCATATAAGTGTGATGGTCAGGTGTCCACAAACTCTTGGCCATATGCTGTATATACCTATTTATGTGTTTCCATGTTCAAAAGGTAGTTCATGACACAAACTGAATCAAATTCTCCAAATTATTGACACTGTTATATCATGTAGTTTACATATTAATCAAAAGCAACAACAGCACTGAAAGTGTTGAAATCATTTTTAGAAGAGGAGATTAAACGGCAGAAATAGCCATGTTTTTGCTCCGGCCTTGAAAGGTTAATCAGAAGAAAGTTTCAAGGCTTTCTCTGTAGTCTCTCTCTCTCTCTCTCTCTTTTTACTCTCTCTCTCTCCCTTGGGTCTGCTTACTCATATCTGAGAGCTCTATCGTGCCAAGGGTTCCTCTTTATAAGTGGTTTTGGGAGAAAACAGAAGAAGAAGCTCTCCTTGTAGTATGTTGTCTCGGGCTCTCTGTCTTCTCAGAGTCCCTTGAGCAAGGTGCACACACAGGCACAGTTCTCTCTGAAGTGCTGAAAGCCTCTTCAGAGCCGCAGTGTGGGGGGCTGCAGGGGGCCGGCAGCTCTACACATACACATACACAAACTCCCTGTAACGTCTGCTGTGCTTCTCCAGCTGTGTGCCTCCAATTACTGAAACGCAGCAAGACTTCGATCACTAATTACACCGACATCAAGACTGAACTACTGACGATTCACTATCTCTCTCAGTTCACTTCAATTTGATTCTGATTCAATTCAACTCGATTCATTAAGCTTTGTTAGTGTGACCATATTTAGTTACATGACTGCCAGTTATTCATTCAGCCTAATGAGAAACTGTAGAACAGACTCAGTTTATATCACAATACCTACATTTAGAGTCGGTTATTCATTCAGCCTAATGAGAAACTGTAGAACAGACTCAGTTTATATCACAATACCTACATTTAGAGTCAGTTATTCATTCAGCCTAATGAGAAACTGTAGAACAGACTCAGTTTATATCACAATACCTACATTTAGAGTCAGTTATTCATTCAGCCTAACGAGAAACTGTAGAACAGACTCGGTTTATATCACAATACCTACATTTAGAGTCGGTTATTCATTCAGCCTAATGAGAAACTGTAGAACAGACTCAGTTTATATCACAATACCTACATTTAGAGTCAGTTATTCATTCAACCTAATGAGAAACTGTAGTGATCTTTGTTTAGAGTCGCTACATAAAGTGGATTTCCCAGTTTAAAATGCTTCTGAGCTGGACTGTGATAGTGTAGCTAAGCAATCAAAGCAGGTTGGAAACAGAAAATTGTCCGCATGCTAATATTAGCTCAATGACAAAACAAAGAAGTACACTTTCATATTATATTGGACCAATGTTGATCTTGAGGTTGCTGAGTTTAAGGTTAGAGTTGGGTTTGGTGGAGCAGCGTTTACTTTTAGCCTATATAATACACACACATGTGACCCATTTAAGTAACACGTCAGTGTACAGTGTAGTAACCTGCTCTTCTGGTACTTTAATCTCACTGTCACAACTGGGATTATATTTCTCTAGAAACCAGACAAAATATGCTCCTCATCTTCTCTCAGTCTCAACTACCAGACACAAAGACCTGTTTCTGTCCCACATAGACACAATAACTCATTCTCACCTCTCTCACCTGTTGAAAAGTGTTTAGTTTGGTTTGGTTTACTGCAGATGTGACTGATCGACCAAGACATGTTTGGTGTCTGAGGAAAAAAGCAACTAATGAGGTTGTTTGACTTACAAACTGAAACTGTCAACATTAAAGAAATCAATCAATACATAAATTGGACAGTAAATGAAATGCAAATAAATTGCCCTGAAGTAGTTCAACTTTTTGTTGACGTAACAAAGTTGTGTATACTGACTCTATTTGAATAAAAATGTGTGGCATATTTAAGTAAAGTTCATACAACAATTTATTTTTTTTCAATTGTGAAGTCAGAAAGGCATTCTCAACACCGACTTCCAGGTATCACATCATAGCTACACTGTTAAAAATAAAAGATGCCACAAAAGTATAATAAAAGAACCACTGTTTCTGTACAGAACCATGTTGAAAATGAAACGCTTGAGTGTGAAGAACCTTCCTGTAATAGATTCTATACCTATTTAAAGGTTCTTCCTAGCCTCTTTGAAAAGGTTCTCCACAGCCACAAGTCATTTATACATTTTTTTCTCTGAAGAACCGTCCATTAAAGGTCATTTGGGGAACCAAAAGTGGTTCTTCCATGGTATTGCATGAAGAACCCTTTTAGGCACCTGTATTGAGAGTGTACAGCAGTAATGAAGCACCACTTCTCTAGTTAAAAGTCTAGAGATGTATCACTGACGTCAGCTGGCTGGCTTGTTGCTAACAGGTGCTCTCTTGTTTATTGAGGTGTGCATGTTTTTTCCACTTTGTATCTCGAGTACTTGGAAGTCGAGAGGTAATTCAAAGCTCCAAACATGTTTTTGATTGACTTAGGATCAGGGTCTACAGAGGATCTGTAGAAATGGTTGCGGTCTTTGTTAATCATGACAATGATAATAATAATAATTGCTGTTTTTCCCACTCTCAGGATTACCGAAGATGCTGGCTATAAGGAATTATCACGGTGTTCCCAGCCCCATGTGTGGCCCCGCCCTCAATATTACAGAAGGCGACATCATCGAGTTGATCAGAGCGGATCTACACAGCACCTGGTGGCAGGTCAGAAACTTCACTTCATCCTTGGATGTGATGTACGATGTAAATATACGTACCTGCTCACAGGAGAAGATCAGAGACAAGAGCAGTTTTTTGTTCTAAAATATGATCTCAGCTACATGAGACACTAATGCCACAACTCTATAGCATGTGAGCGAAAAAGGCTCTGAACCTGCTTTCTTCATTATTGGGAGACAAAACATTCGTCAACAAACCAAACATAGATTATTCACATCCTCCAGCTCCTCTGTCGGTCCATCAAAAACATCATGGCCTGCAATTCATTCCTTGCTCATAAAAATGTGGTAAAAACACCTGCTTTGGAGTGTGGACTGCTGGGAAACGTAGTGTGAGAGAGATGTAGGCTTAATTAGAATACATTAGAAAGCAGGGTTATACTTTATTTTAAGGTCTGCTTCTTGGCTATTAATCAACTATTAGAAGCAATTAATAACGCCCTAAATATACATCATTTTTAAGCAGCGTAGAAATGTGCTGTTGTATTTATATGCTATATTATAATATGACATATTATTAAGATCTTCTATAAATTAATTTTTTTTTTTAATTTTTGGTAAATATTAATAAATTCTAATGTCACAGTTGCAAACATAATTGAAAGGCTTTCATTTAACGTGAATTCACAGTGATCAAACATATTGTAGTAAAAGCTGGTGAATCACATTTTGTTTTGATTATGATATTCAGAAGGAGGAGTTAGGCTAATGCTATGGTATCCCATGTGGTTGCTAAGGAGTTGCTAGGCCATCACAATGGAATCCCAGGTGGTTGCTAAGGAGTTACTAGGCCAATGTAATGTTATCCCAGGTGGTTGCTAAGATGTTGTTAGGCCAATGCTATGGTATCCCATGTGGTTGCTAAGGTGTTGCTAGGCCAATGTAATGTTATCCCAGGTGGTTGCTAAGGTGTTGTTAGGCCAATGCTATGGTATCCCATGTGGTTGCTAAGGTGTTGCTAGGCCAATGCTATGTTATTCCAGGTGGTTGCTAAGGAGTAGCTAGGCCAGGGCTATGGTATCCCAGGTGGTTGCTAAGGTGTTGCTAGGCCAATGCTATGTTATCCCAGGTAGTTGCTAAGGAGTTGCCAGGCCAGTGCTATGGTATCCCAGCTGGTTGCTAAGGTGTTGCTGGGCCATTGCTATGGAATCCCGGGTGGTTGCTAAGGTGCTGCTCAGCCAATGCTATGGTATCCCAGTTGGTTGCTAAGGAGTTGCTGGGCCAATGCTGTGTTACCCCAAGCGGTTGCTCAGGTGTTGCTCGGCCATTGCTATGGTATCACAGGTGGTTGCTAATATGTGAGTATATACAGTATAAGTGCTAGCATGTATGTGAGTCTGTATGTTATCTCTATAAGGGTTAGTGTGAGAGATGTGAGAGATGTGTGTGACATCATTTGTGCCAGTTAGATTTGCATTTTACATTTGGAAAAAATGAATGGTGTTTAAACTGATTGTGTTTTCCTCATTTTTTAAATATTTTATGACCTGGAAATGTTATTTGTAATAATGCAGTAAAGCAGTGTCTATTAACAATGAACAAGTTGTACTTTAGTTATGATCTTGCAAACCCATTAATAAAGATCTTTTAAATAATGCTAGTTCTTTGGAAGCTCTTTACAGGTCAAATGTAAATGTTTACTAACAGGAAGGTATCGATAGTTAAGTATGTGGCACTTTAGTTTTGGTCTTATCATTTGAGCACTAATTTTAAGTATGCACATCTATGCCACATTTTTAAGCTTGCTCACAAATAATCTGCTTAAATGTATTGGTTTATTGTTACTTGCTAATAGATAAGTAATTAAGAAGGAAGCCTTAAAACAAAATATTATTAACGATGGTTGCAATTTTTCACCAGAGGGTCTCTGAGAGTTAAATGTCCAATCAGAATAAACGATTCTGGTAGCTTGGCCACGTGCCCAGTCACATTCTGACCTGCATGGCTAATGCATGTGCTCCTGCCAGGCCTTTCTGCTGAGTCTGTGTGCAGGTTGCATGCTAATGTCAGGTATTAAAGGAGCATCTACAGCAGGTGTGTGTACCATTCTGAGTGTGACAGGCTATGTAACAGCGCCTGATTCCCTCCCTTTGTCAACACTCAGCGCTGTTGATGCAAGCTGTTTGTCTCTCTGGCTCTCTGAGATAGCGCACGCCACCCACTGAGTTTACGCACAGGCACGCAACGCACAGAAAAGACACCGAGCATTTTTCAGCGGGCTGTCATTTGGGCGGACACGCTCCCTAAGCAGATGATGCACTTTGATGCCTGGCACCTCCTATCAAAACAATGCCATGCTCCTGCGCACGTGGCGCAATAATGTGGGTGAGGGCACTCGCTTTCAGAAAACACTCAGGCAAAAAGGTGTGGCAGCATTTAGTTCAGTGCAGCTCATATTTACTGTCATCAAACCAGCACACAAGTGTAGAAGGAGAAGCCTGTTTTGATATTCACGTGCAGTAAACATCCAACCATGCCAAGCAGGAAGTGCTGCATAATGCATCTGGCACTGGACGTGCAATATAACAATAACAAACAAGAAGGAAAAGATAAGAACGTTAACAGTAAAGTAAAGAACTGATAACACCAAACAGACTGAATCGTGTGGTTTGTTGTTTCTTCTATATAAAAGTGCTCTATAATGTTCATATGATACACACAGTCATTCTGACAGACTGTAATACACTACAGGAAGTGTAGGGGGCGATATGGTCTGTATTGTTTCTTTTAAAAAGGGCAAATAATAGTTGACAAAATAATTACAGAAATAATCACTAGTTGCAGCCTTAATCTCCCTGTTGTGGCTTGCTGCCCTTACATGGCCCAATACGAATGGGACTCTGGATGGTTTATGGCATGTTCCACAAGCACCAAAGTCACTTCTGTTCAGTGGAGATAATGGAGTTGTTCATATGTTTGGTAAACACCATCAAAAGAACACTCCTTATTCTGGAGAACCTGGAAACGCCAATAAACTTGATAGCCCTATTAAGTCTGGGATACTTGACAACACTGACAGCCGTTATAGTCCTGATGTCGCAAGTAACCATTGCAATTCTACAAACCCTGAAAACACTGCTAGGCCTGGTAGTCTTGGCCAACTTGGACACATAGTAGCCATGGTAACCACTGTACCCCAGGTAACCCTGATGCCTGGCAGTCTTGGTAACCTTGATGACCTAGTATCCCTGGTAACCATGGCACCCCTAGGAATCTTGATAGAACTGATAGGTCTGATAGCCTTGGTAATCTTAATGTAGTAGCCCTGGAAACACTGTTAACCTTGATAACATAATAGCCCTTGTAACCATGATGCCCATAGTAACCCTGATAACACTAGAAAGCCTGGTAGCCTTAATAATATAGTAGACCTGGTAACTGTGCCACCCGTGTTAACCCTGGCAACACTGGTAGGCCTGGTAGTTGCCCTGGTAACCCAGATAACCTTGATAACATAGTAGCATTTTTTACCATGATACCCCTGGTAGCCTAGATGACATTGTAGTAACTAAGACACCCCTGATATCAATGGTAACAGTGGTAGGCCTGTTAGTCTTGTTTACATATCGGTAGGCCCATCATTGTTACCATTGTTATCAGGGGTGCCATAGGCCTGGTAGTTGCTCTGGTAACCCTAATAACCTTGATAACGTATTAGCTTTTTTACCATGATACCCTTAGTAACCCTGACAACACTGATACGTCTGGTAGCCTTGATAATATAGTAGTAACTATGGCACCACTGATAACAATGGTAACACTGGTAAGCCTGTTAGTCATGATAACCTTAGTACCCAACATAGTAGCCCCCATGACTCTGGTAACACTGGAAGGCCTTGATAACATAGTAGCTTTTTTTACCATGATACCTCTAGTAACCCAGACAACACTGGTAAGTCTGGTAGCCTGGAAGACATAGTAGTAACTATGACACCCTTGGTAACAATAATAACACTGGTAGGCACGATAGGTCTTGATAACATACTGGTAGGCCTGTGAGTCATGATAGCTCTAGTGCCCGGCATAGTAGCCCTAGTGACCCTGGTAACACTGGAAGGCCTGGTACCCTTGGTAACCTTGATGACATACTATTCCTGGGAACTCTGGCACCCATAGTAGCTTTGATAACAGAGGTAGGCCTGGTAGCCTTGGTAACCTTGACAACACAGCAGTTCTATTAACATTAGTGGCCTTGGCAGGCCTTGTAAGCTTGGTGACCTTGATGAAATAGTGGCCCTGGGAACCATAGCAGCTTGGGTAGCCTGAAAGCCCTGATAGTCCCAATAGTCCCAGCAACCCTGGTTACCCTGTTTGTTCTGGCAACTCTGGCAACATATAGACAGTTCTTCTCTCTGTGGAAGCAGACAGACACGATCCATTGCTCTAATTCTGTTTCACCCTTCAAGCTGCGTAGGCTAACATTGTTAGAAGTTTTAACGTGCCTATCTCAGTTTTGGCCAGCGGAGGAGCCCCAGCCCAGAGCGCTGATGAAACATCATTAGGTTAAATGTATCACTGCCACTTAAGTATCGCTTTACAAATCGGGTTAGTTTGAAGAAGAGGGCTGATGAGACTTCCGGGAGCTTTTAGCTTCTCCCAGTAGGACTATCTGAGGAAAGACACAACAGTCTTGTATTAATGGATAACATAAGCTGGACAAGACGATGCATGATTGTGTCAAAGTAGAATCAAGTTTAGCTTCATTTGTTACTGTATCTCCTTCAGTAATGCCTGATATTAGACATCACGGAACAATCATCCAATTTTGTTGGTGATTTACAGAGCAGTGAAGCTGAATCTCAGGAATAGGGTTACTTTATTGTTAAACAGGGACTTTTATTTACTGTATATTCTTCTTTTATAAAGCTATGAGCCTTCCCCTTCCCCAATGAACCAAATCCAGTAGGAACCAGCTGGCCTGCCCTTATAATACTGATTGTCTCCCATTCTTTATTAGCTTACCATTTTCATGGGCTATTCCTTTAATAATAAACAATCCCCGGTTCTTCTGGCAGATGAAAGAGAAAAATATGCCCAACCACTCATTAGTCTGTTCACAAGTACGGCATTTAATTACTTAAGCATTAAAAAGAGAGTTATTATCAAGTGGAGTCCCCCAATCCGCCTCCTCCACTTTCTGCTCTCGCACTAAATGAATAGCGCCCTGCGCTACGTGCTAATTGTTGCTGAATTATTGAAAAGGAGTCGCCCAGCTGAACTTAATGTAATTATCTCCTGTGCTTGCAGGGCAAAGTCTTGACGACAAGAGAGGTTGGATACTTTCCAAGCGACGCCGTGAAGCCCTGCCCATGTGTGAGTGTGAATTTTAAAATGTTTAATTCAGCGTGTCAATTAATTGCTTTGTTTACTCTACAGACTACAGATGAGTGCAGATTAGCATACAGGTTCTGTGTTCATTTGTTGTTGTACATTTTTAGAGCGAATTTTATTAAATACATTTGGAACTTATTATTATCTATAGATACACACACCACACACATATATATATATATATATATATATATATATATATATATATATATCGCTGATGTTGGAAGAAAACCTCATGTATCTCCATTTTTGTCGTTTTTCAGTCATTCAGGCATATCATTACACATACTTACTCACCTTTAATAAGGGTTACATTTGTCAATTTTGATCAAAGTTAGCTAAAGTAGCCTTTATGACAGATGACACCTACTAGAATAAGCATTTATAAACATTTATGTAGGGTTATGTCAGTTGTCATGACAAGCTTATGTAAGTGTCATGTAGCCATATACATATATGTGACATTATTGTTACATGTAGGTTCTTACATATTCTCCACATTACACATATTGTATATAGATATTTAATTATAATTCATACGTATGAGGCATTGTTATGACGTATAGATATTTACATATATGTAATACAAATATAACATTATTACAGACGTGGCATATGGGACATTAATGTTATTACATATACGTATTTAGAAAATCTTGTATGTCCATTTTTGATGTTTTTCGCTTTTTGACATAACTTGAAAATACCTGTGGTCCTTTACATTGTGTGTAAATTTCATGATGTATGGACTAAAACAAATGACCCAAACAATTCTGGTTCCATTGACTTACATTAAAAGTAAATTAGGTTTTTTCCTTCTCCTGTAAAGTTACCATTTTGGAGATACGAGGTTTTGTTCTGACAATGGCGATATATTTAATACAAATAAGACATTATTACATATTGGTACTTACATATAATGTACTATATACATACATACTGTGGGATATATTATTATTATATTATGGTATTTACGTATTGTCACTGTCTGAACAAAACTTTACATAGTTGGAAAATTCCAGCTGCTATTCATAATTGGTCAAAATGTCAGGTTGAATTGAACAGGTTGTGTGTATATATATATATATATATATATATATATATACATACACACACACACATCAACCGCTTATCCTTCTGGGTCGCGATGGGGTGCTTGAGCCTATCCTAGCTGTCATTGGGCAGACGGCAGGATACACCCTGGACAGGTCTATATATATGTACACACACACATATATATACATATATAGGCATGGTACATATTTTTATTATCATATTTTTTTATATATGTATTTATATATATATATATATATATATATATATATATATATATATAGAGAGAGAGAGAGAGAGAGATAGATAGATAGATAGATAGATAGATATATCATGTGCAGTGATATATATAATTAATGCAGGACTTTATATATACATAGCATTATACATACCGTATAATACGTATGGGACCCTGCAAATGAGGTATAAAAACAACCCTGTGTCTTCGTGTGTGTTTCAGTATTGTATTGTTTATCTTTCCTCTGTTCTTATCTGCGGGGTCACTGGTAATTTCTTGAGTAAACACACGGCAGCAGGTGTGTTTTTATCGGCTCTATTCCTCGGAATACTGCAGCGTCACCTGCGTACGACACCCTGACATTCCCCTGCCGTTCAGGTCTGTCTGTCTGCAGTGATTGTTATCGTGATCTCTATACATACACCAGTGAGAAGGTAAAAATAGATGCAGGAAACGGTTGAGCGTAATTAGAAAAACCACCTGTGTTTGTGAAAAACAAAACGAATGAGTCTGCAAACTGAGGTGGAAGCTGGTGACAAAAAAGCAGATCCGTTCCCTTTGGGAGGAAAACAAATTCAGAACGGTAATTTAAAAATGTGTTTGAGTGGGATTTCAAGAACAAGGCCCCCCTGAGATTCATACATGCTCTGTTTTGTTTCTCTCTTCTAGGCTAAACCTATTGATTATTCTCCGCAGCCCTGGTGAGTTCAGAGGATTTTTAAATACTCATTTTTAATTCCTGTTTTGTGTCATTTACTCAGAAATAAAGAGAAATCAGATTAACACACGGAAAATTGTATTAAATAGGAATATTAAAAATATTTCATTCATTATTACTGTTATAATCTTTATAATTCTTAGTATTATTACAACTAATAATAACATTATTAATAACAAGTGTAATTACTTGCTTAAGAGTTTATATGTATTTAAAAAGTGAGCAATTACTACATTTTGGACCAGTGCAGTACTACAGTATCGGTCAGTGCAGGGTCAGTGCAGTTCTACACTGTAGGTCAATGCAATGCTACATTACTCTGACCTCTGTGCAGGTTTGCGGGCCGCATACAGCGTCTGGAGGCGGAGGCGGAGCTTGTGAACAGGAAGAACAGCACATACCTGGTGAGGCATCGAGGCCACGACAGTAATGAGTACGCCATCAGCATCAAGTGAGTTACCATGGTTACCATGGCTTTACGCTTTCAGTCACATTCTTGAGCGCTCAGATCGCAGCAGACACGCAGTGTTAGTCAGGAGATTTCTTTAAACATCAGGGCTAACATTAACTCTTAGCACCATCATCTATCTATCTAATGCTACTGTAACTAATTAGGTTAATTTAATAACAGTTTTCTATCTAATTCTGAAGCTTCAGCCTCAAGGCTCCCAAAAGCTCCACACGTTACATTATTATGGCAAATCCAGTCATGTTTTGGGCTCACATTACATTTTGGGTACATTATGTATTAGGTAGGCCGTCTCTTTGGTGGCAGCGGCCTGTGGAGGAGCCTTTTTTCAGCAGCTAGCACCAAATGACACAGTCTATCAAGGACCCACAACAACCCCAACTAGGCTGAGATGTGTGATGTTTAAACAGGGAAAGAGTAGGACAGCTTGAGATCATCACTGCTGTCAGAGAAACTATTAAACAGTAGTTGTTAACCTTTAGTTGACCTCACCAGTCAACTGTGTAGTTCGAATTCACTTTAGTTATTTGTATGTGACTTAGTAAATTGTAGCACTTAGTAATGCATAAGTAATTATTAACTATCATTATGGCCCAATACCATTTCTTATTTTTACCCCTACCCCTTGTTTTCGAGTGTCTCCTTGCCCCTTGGAACTGAGTTACAGGGTAGTGGTTGAAATCTTCCCTCTGAAATGAGACCCTCAAATAAAAAGAGCATCACTTCATTAACAGCTACCAGCGCTGCTCTGTAGGCGACCCTGCCAGTCTGCAGTGACAGCAGAGGAGGGTAAAGTTCAGCTCCTCACTGCTGGGCTTTAGTTACATTTAGGGCATCATATGACTTCAAAGAGGGGGGCAATTATTTATTACCACCCACCCCTAATTCTTCAGTGATATGAAGTTGAAGTCAGGTATTCACCAGCTGTGAAAACAGTGTTTATTGTAATTTTTTAACTGTGAAAATTCTCACATTTGTGGGTTTCTTTGGTCTCTTGTTCAGCCGTCTTGCCGGTTTTCGTTTTTTCATAACTCTCTGTTTGGAGTCTCTGAAAAACCTCTGTTTAGAGGGTCATGTAGCCCCAACACTTCACCCTACCCCTCTATCTCAGCAAGAATCAGGACACCCTACCCCTAGACGGGAACACGCAAAATGAAGGGCTAAGGGCTCAGTGGTAGGGGCGAGAGGTGAAATGGGATTGGGCCCAACTATTAGATAATGATTAAGTTATTTAAAGAGGCCTGTAATTAGAACATATTACCAAAAATTAGGTAAAATGAAAGGGAGTACATTACATTACGACCAGAATATGAGGGTGTGGTTAGCATATATCTTAAGTAAACGTCCATGTGCCTGTACTTGTGGATCACTCTAATACATTATACCACCTAATGAACAGTGCTGGAGCTGTAAATGTGGACAGTGGAGAGGAAAAGCTTATGAGGAGCGAGTGTTTTCTTCAGAGCCCACTGAGGTCCTATGATCTCCTCGTGCTCTCAGATACTCAGTCCCAGTCCGCTAAGCCTGCTGTCCCAGTAGGGCCGAGGTGATAATTACCTGAGTGTGCAAGTGTGCCGGACTGGAACTGCAGAGCAGACGCCAGAACACACAATCCCTCAGAATATTCAAAGAACCTGCCTTAGAAAATCTACCGAAACCAACAATGGCTCCCTTTTTCTTCATCAGCCGAGCAGCCAGTCAGGAGATTAGCGGAGAAATTTCAAATTCCAATCCGAATCCCTTTGCATTTCAATTAACAATGGACCCGCTTATTGGATTTTTCCCTCAGCTATTCAGTATGAATTAGGCATGTGATTAGCAGGATAACCGATTCAGGCCTGTTAGAGGAGCTGGGTTTGTTCAGAACATCACAGAGGACAAGAAAGAGAGATAGAGAGAGAGAGAGAGAGAGAGAGAGAGAGGACTGAGTGACTATGGAGTAAAGAAAAACTTGGCTGTCCAGACTAGAAAGGTTATGTGGTCACTTCTCCTTTAATATCAATCATATTCGCATATTTAGTTGTGATGGCTGCTCAATACATACAAGAAGGCTACAGCTTTAAGGAACGTGGGCGAGAACACTGACAATATAGCAACAGTAATAGCATATATGATGTATATAGTGAAAAATCTATTGTTAAATTTATTGCCAATGTCATTAAATATAGGCTATAGTCCATATAGAACCAGTAATTAATATAATAAATATACTTAATAATATAGTACTAATGAATGCAGTGGTTTGTATTATGCTGTACACAGTCAAATATATGGCCAGTAACATACAGTCAAATATAAGCTGTAGTCGGTAATACAGTACCGGTGATAAGATTCTGTAATGTATACTGTGTGTAATATCCAGTTAAATATATGGCCAGTAACATATAGTTCAGTATGTACTTCATAATGTGGCACTACTGATAACATTAGTTGCAAATATAATGTACACTGTTAAGATATATAGTTAAATATTTAGTTGATAATGTTGTACTAATAATAGCAGTAGTTTTTAACAGCATGTAAAAGGTTAAAAATATATAGTTTAATATGTAATTAATAATATATCCTTAAATATATATTTGATCATATGTCTTACCGATAACATTAGTTTCAAATATAATGTACACTGGTATAATATACAGTTAAATAAACAGTTGTGCTAGTGGTAGCAGTAGTTTCTTATATGGCATAAATAGGTAAAAATATGTAATCGATATATATACAGATAGTTTCTAATATAACATCTATAGCAGTAGTTTCTAATATAACATATGTAGTAAAAAAATAGTATAATTAAATATCGTTAATGTCCAAAAAAGGTAGCTTTTCAGGCGAAGGTGAAACAGTTCTTTACTTATGATGTAAATGAATGTAAATAGATTTTATTCCAAATAATTTTAATTAATCTCTTGGTCTATTAAACTTTACGTGTTTTTCTTTGGACAGCTAAATAGAGGCTATAGTTGATAATATAGTACCAGTGATAGCAGCAGTTTCTAATATACAGTTTACATGGCACTGCTGTCGGAACAAAACCTCGTATCTCCATTTTTGTCGTTTTTCAGTTTTTGACATAATTTGAAAATGCTTGTTGTCCCTTACATTGTGCATAAATTTCATGAAGAATGGACCAAAAGAAACGGCCCAAAATGACATGAAAAAAAAGTCTGGTTCCATTGACTTACATTAAAAGTAGAGTTGGTTTTTTTCCTTCTCCTGTAAAGTTACCATTTTGGAAATACAAGGTTTTGTTCGGATAGCAGTGAAATGTAGTAAAATAAAGCATAACATAGTTGATAATATATCACCAGTGATGGCAGCAGTTTCTCATATAACGTACATTGCTGAAAATACTGTATGTTGTTTAACATGATAGTGTTTTTGTGTTAGACTGTTTGAATTGATCTGTGTGTGTAATGATAAAACTGACTGACGTGATAAAGATTTAAATGTCTTTTAAACGCTGTAATTGAATACAGTCCTGCCAGTAAAGCCTGTTTGAGTTAAAGTGCTGAAATCTGAAAGTCTCCTCAGACTTTCTCTCAGCGTCTGACTAAAAACAAATGCCAGCGGTGTTGTGATCAGGGGCTAATGGGGGTCCTGCCCTCGTATCGACCCCCCCGCCGCAGAGTCAGAGCCTTCTACCCCGTGCATTACTGAGGCAGAGTCGATCGCACCGGTCAGCAGAAAGTGACCCTCATCACTTATCCATGCGCCGCAGGTTCAACAACGACGTGAAGCACATCAAGATCCTGGCCAGAGACAGCTACTTCCAGATCGCGGAGAACCGGAGGTTCCGCAGCATTCTCGTGAGTGACTCCCTCTCAGACAGCCACGCCCCAGTGAACACGCTCACACTCCACTCACTGCTACTCACTCACTCTCAAGCTTGGCATCGTAACAGTAGCAGAACCCTTTTTGGTGCTATGTAGAACCATTTTCAGAAAGCTTCTACATAGAACCATATGCAACACGTTCTCCGTCAATCTGAAGAACCATTTCACTATGCAGAGAACCCTTTAAGCAGTCATGATTTTATATAGAACCATTCCCTTTATTTAAGAACCCTAGAAGAACCATCTTTTTTAAGAGTGAATGAAATAAAATTATGATAACATTTATTATCATTTTGTTATTTAAGTAAATCAACTACTTTTTTCCAGTTAGCAGAGTCAGCTAGCATTATCTGTGGAGACAGGAGAGTCAGCTAGCATTATCTGTGGAGACAGTTAGCAGAGTCAGCTAGCATTATCTGTGGAGACAGTTAGCAGAGTCAGCTAGCATTATCTGTGGAGACAGTTAGCAGAGTCAGCTAGCATTATCTGTGGAGACAGGAGAGTCAGCTAGCATTATCTGTGGAGACAGTTAGCAGAGTCAGCTAGCATTATCTGTGGAGACAGGTAGCAGAGTCAGCTAGCATTATCTGTGGAGACAGTTAGGAGAGTCAGCTAGCATTATCTGTGGAGACAGGAGAGTCAGCTAGCATTATCTGTGGAGACAGTTAGCAGAGTCAGCTAGCATTATCTGTGGAGACAGGTAGCAGAGTCAGCTAGCATTATCTGTGGAGACAGGTAGCAGAGTCAACTAGCATTATCTGTGGAGACAGGAGAGTCAGCTAGCATTATCTGTGGAGACAGTTAGCAGAGTCATCTAGCATTATCTGTGGAGACAGTTAGCAGAGTCAACTAGCATTATCTGTGGAGACAGGAGAGTCAGCTAGCATTATCTGTGGAGACAGCAGAGTCAGCTAGCATTATCTGTGGAGACAGTTAGGAGAGTCAACTAGCATTATCTGTGGAGACAGTTAAGAGAGTCAGCTAACATTATCTGTGGAGACAGCAGAGTCAGCTAGCATTATCTGTGGAGACAGTTAGCAGAGTCAGCTAGCATTATCTGTGGAGATAGTTAGGAGAGTCAACTAGCATTATCTGTGGAGACAGTTAGCAGAGTCAACTAGCATTATCTGTGGAGACAGTTAGCAGAGTCAGCTAGCATTATCTGTGGAGACAGTTAGCAGAGTCAGCTAGCATTATCTGTGGAGACAGTTAGCAGAGTCAGCTAGCATTATCTGTGGAGACAGTTAGCAGAGTCAGCTAGCATTATCTGTATACGGTGTTGAAGTCGTGACTTAAAAAAGAGCAGATTATGGTAAACAAGTGTAATTTTATTACTATTACTTTTATTTACTATAATTGGCCTTTTGTGTTCTTTATGGTTCTCCAGTACTATTCAGATTCTGTTGAGAATTAGTGATTGATAATTAGTAATCATTCAATCATCACAATGAAATGGGAAAATACGTGGTGATAAAACTGTGCGTGTATTAATTATAAACTCTGTTCTGAACTGTTTAAAACGTTCTGTCTGTTGACCATCTCAGACCTGACGAGCTGAGATCGTCCACTCTGGGGGGAAATGTTGTATGTTGTATTCGATTCTTCATGCCGTCGTTTAGTATTATACTGTAGTGTATTTATTGGGCCTCGTTATTGCCTCATCTGTTTCCCCTTTAAAAGGCTTCACAGAGGCGGCCTTTTTAACGTCGTTACGCCCTGCAGATCGAGTGGCTTTTGTCATCTACTTCTGAAAGTGCTTTTAGATTCGATTTCACAAATGTCACTTAAAGAGCATTATTGGATTGTGAATACCGCAGTCTTATTGAATCTGCGCCAACATTTCTGCTCTGACTGCTTTATTTATTCAATGCGCCCACAGGAGCTGGTGTGTGTGTGTGTGCGTGCGTGTGTGTGTGTGTGTGTGTGTGTGTGTGTGTGTGTGTGTGCGTGCGTGTGTGTGTGTGTGTGTGTGTGTGTGTGTGTGTGTGTGTGTGTGCGTGTGTGTGTGTGTGTGTGTGCGTGTGTGTGTGTGTGTGTGTGTGTGTGTTTGTCTTACTGGCATTTATGTATTTATTTAAGAGTTATTTGTTTATTCATGTTGCAGGAGTTGATTGAGTACTACAAGCATCACTCTCTGAAGGAGGGCTTCAGGACGCTGGACACCACACTGCAGTTCGCCTACAGAGAGCCAGAGAACGGAGGAAGCAGTGAGTACCCCTCCCCCCCTTCCTCCTCCTCCTCCTCACCCTTCATCAGCTGAGACGCTGCACACGTCTGAACTGTCGCTCTTTAGTTTTTCTGTTCAGCAAAGCGAACAAGTCTGATCACACGTTCACGCCTGCACAGACGACACCGTCAGACTCAGACACGACACACAGCAATCAGACGGGCTGCCTAACAGTGCTCACTCACTCATTGTCTCTCTCTCTCACTCACTCATTTTCTCTCTCTCTCTGTCTCTTTCTCACTCATTCTCTCTCTCTGTCTCTCACTCACTCACGCACTCATTCTCTCTGTCTCTGTCTCTCTCACTCATTCTCTCTCTCTTTTTCACTCACTCATTCTCTGTCTCTCTCACTCATTCTCTCTCTCTCACTCATTATCTCTCTCTTTCTCACTCATTCATTTTCTCTCTCTCTCTCTGTCTCTTTCTCACTCATTCTCTCTCTCTGTCTCTCACTCACTCACTCACTCATTCTCTCTGTCTCTCTTTCACTCACTCATTCTCTCTTTTTTCTTTCTTTTTCTCTTTCTTTATTTTTTTTTCTATCATTCTTTCTTTCTTTCTTTCTTACTTACTTTTTTGTTGTATCATTCTTTCTTTCTTTGCTTATTTATTTCTTTACTTTTATCATTCATCTGTTTCTTTTGTTATTTATTTATTTATATATTTCTATCATTCTTTCTTTCTTTCTTCCAATTTATCTTTTCTTTATTTCTATCATTCCTTCTTTTTTCTTTCTTTCTTTATTCCTTTATTTATTTTTTTCTTTATTTCTGCCATTCTTTCTTTCTTACTTTCCTTCTTTCTTTTTTCGTTCTTTCTTTTGACTGCGCTGATCGTAACTCTGCAGGGGCTCATAGTGTCGTATACAAAGGTTTTTTGCTGAGTTGAACCTACTGGAAAAAATACACAGTAACTGTGCATTACAAGGTGTGTCTCTGTAGAGGATGTGTTCACTTATTCACACTCAGAATATCAACAAAACACATCATTTGACTGGGGCACAGAAACTTTTGCATGCGACTGTATATGAGTCCTTAATTGACGACTCAATGATTTTGTACATATATAGCTCACAACTATCTCTGTTAATGCCTGGAGTTTGAATAGACCAGAACCCTTGGATATGTCTAAAGTCTGAGTACTTCATTGTTTTGTTTCAGTAGTTTTTACTGTTTGACTGCAGCCTGAACTACTTCAGTAGGATGGTCCATATAGGGCCAGCGAAGAGTTCAGGTCACAGGCACTGGGGGGGTTGTTGGGTGGGGGGTTTCATCACCCACTTCCATGAGTCTCTTAGGATTAAGTTGGCAAATATTCGAGCTATGATATTCCCCAAACTTTTGATGATCAGTGTACCGCCTCGTGTGGCAGTGTGTGCTAGCGTTACTGAGCGCGCTCAGTCTCGGGGTTTGATTGAGGGTTTGTGATGTGCTGTAATCAGTGTTTAGATGAGATGATGAGTGGAGCTCCATATGGCAGACCGTGGCGGACGGGGGGGGTGGGGGGGTTGGTGGGGGTGGGGTGTGAATTCAAGGTCGTGTGTAATGCAGAGAGAGAGCGCTGCCTCATCGTTTCAGATACACTGTCACTCACTGCCTTCACTCACACAACACTGGACCAGACAAACAACAAACAAACAAACAAACAAAAGATTGTGGTATAAACTGAGTCTGTTCTACAGTTTCTCATTAGGTTGAATGAATAACCGACTCTAAATGTAGGTATTGTGATATAAACTGAGTCTGTTCTACAGTTTCTCATTAGGCTGAATGAATAACCGACTCTAAATGTAGGTATTGTGATATAAACTGAGGCTGTTCTACAGTTTCTCATTAGGCTGAATGAATAACCGACTCTAAATGTAGGTATTGTGATATAAACTGAGTCTGTTCTACAGTTTCTCATTAGGCTGAATGAATAACCGACTCTAAATGTAGGTATTGTGATATAAACTGAGTCTGTTCTACAGTTTCTCATTAGGCTGAATGAATAACCGACTCTAAATGTAGGTATTGTGATATAAACTGAGTCTGTTCTACAGTTTCTCATTAGGCTGAATGAATAACTGACTCTAAATGTAGGTATTGTGATATAAACTGAGTCTGTTCTACAGTTTCTCATTAGGTCGAATGGGATTTTTATCAGTGTTCTGCAAAGCTTGTCCAGCCTAGCAACAGTAGCTATGAAAGAACACATTTGTGGGCGGAGCTTGTGGAATTTTTTTAATAAAAGATGAACAAAAAAGTAAAGTATGAAACAGTGTTAGTTGGAGAAGTGCAAGGTTTGTGGATGGTGCTCTGCGGGTGTTTGGCTCCACTGTTTGTCTCCGTGGCGACGCAGGCCGAATCTAAAGTGTCCGTTTGATGCTTGTGAGTGTCTCGGACATCACAGGTGGACAGAGCGGTCAGCGGAGGGGAGAGGTGAGGGGGAGGGGGCGGCATGAGCTCATGAATTAATGCATGAGGCCGGTCGACCTGCAGCTCTCCCTCTCTCAAAAATCTCTCTACCTGAGATAGAGAGAGAGCGAGAGAGAGAGAGAGAGAGAGAGAGAGAGAGAGAGGTGGACAGGTACGAGACTTCGAATAGCTTGTTCTGTGACTCTGACTGTGCTCTGATTGAGCTCATCTCATCACCTTTACTGCAGATACAGCCCTGCAGGTGGATAAAAACCGACAAACCATTTGGTACTGCAGGACAAAACAAGTGTTTTGGTTCTGTTTTGGTTCTTCTCTGTTCTGTTCTTTGCTGTTCCTCTGAGACATCCCATGCTGCTCATGGACCTGGAGTTCATGGTTTAGAGTTCTGCGCTTTGATGCTTTGCTGGCTGTGACCCTTTGAGTTCATTTCGAACCAAACTCAGTCCCGTTACCTGCTTTGCTTTGCCTGGAAGCTTTGCATTTCAATTAAACATGCTTTTCCTCTGCCTCTCTCTCTCTCTCTCTCTCTCTCTCTCTCTCTCACTCGCTCTCGCTCCACTCCTGCTCCTGCTACAGTCCCATTGCTCTGCGGCCTTTCTTTTGTAACTCCTGCTGGCTACAGCTTTATTCCTCCCTCCTCCGCCCCCTTCTGGTCAGGTACTGGTACTGCTTCAATACCTCATTCATTCCTATAGTGGCTATTAAAGATATACTTCACCTAAAAAAACAAATTTGCACAGTTTACTCTGCTTAACTCGAATGTTGTTGATCAGCTAAGACATGTTTGGTGTCTGACGTTTGCTTCTGGAGCTATGAGGCTAATGTAGCGAAGAAGTCATGTTCCTATTAAAGGAATACTTTAATTTATATAATGAACAATGGACAAAAGTAGCATTCCTGCTGAAAAATCAGAATATTTCAGTACTTGATTCGGGGTACTTGTGTGAATTTGATTTTTTGATGAACTATCGCTTTAATGTTCAGACCACAGCCTGCTTGTCCTCACAGAGTAGTATTTTGTCCAGAGTGGACAAAATAACGGAAACACCACATGAAATACAGGTTGTCTATTTTATCCACCATAAATTTTTCCACACGCCAGTGTCACTGCTAGGTTGAGAGTGGACCATATAATCCAAATATCCAGACAAGAGACACTCTGTGGTCAGAAAATGACCATTGATGAAGGACTAGTGAATGACTAACACAAACTGTACATCAATAGTCTCTAACTGAACACCATCACGGTGGAGCTACAAGAGAGGGGTTTCTGATAAAGTGGCCAATGAGTGGAAGTACAATGCAGGTGTTTCTTATAAAGTGGCCAGTTAGTGGAAGTATGGTGTAGGTGTTTCTAATAAAGTGGTCAGTGAGTGGAAGTACAACGTAGGTGTTTCTAATAAAGTGGTCAGTGAGTGGAAGTACAACGTAGGTGTTTCTAATAAAGTGGCCAGTTAGTGGAAGTACAATGTAGGTGTTTCTAATAAAGTGGCCAGTGAGTGTAAGTACAATGTAGGTGTTTCTAATAAAGTGGCCAGTCAATGGAAGTACAAGGCAGGTGTTTCTAATAAAGTGGCCAGTCAATGGAAGTACAAGGCAGGTGTTTCTAATAAAATGGCCAGAGACTGTAAGTATTTCATGTGGTGTTTCTGTTATTTTGTCCACCTGTATGTGTTTTTCTGTATAACTTTTTCATCTCTCTAGCTCTTTATCTCGCTCTCTTTCTTTTTCTTTTCTCTCTCTTTCCTCTTTATCCTCTCTCATTCAGACTATTTCTTTTTTCTCTGTCTTATCTCTCATCTCTCTCTCTCCCTATCTCTCTCTCTCTCTCTGAGAGCTGCTTGGTGAACGAGTGACGGGCGTGTCTGTCTGTTCCTCCTCCTCCTCCTGTTCTTGTTCATGGGAAGCTCTGGAGTTGTGGAATGTAATTAAGCGGCTAAATGAGAGCAGCTTAGCGCTGTTGACTCGTCTCCATCCGTAATCAAAACAGCACTCAGCTCTGATTGGATGTGGCCCAGATTTGTCAGAGTGGCTGGTGTGGAGTGGATGTGCAGCGGCAGGATAACAACTGGAGAGCAGCAGTGATTACAGGCTCTCTGAGGAGGGCTGGAGTCGGCAGCAGAGCGTCTAGATACAGCCTCTGTCTCTGTTTACTGACCGGCTGGACGATATCAGCAGAACCTGATCACCATATACGGCCACGCACAACTTTACAGACATATAACCCCAGATTACTGCAGATACATGGACAAGAACAGAGCTGCAGTGTATCAGAGAACTGGAGGACATCTAGAATAAAGTTCTAATACAATTAATATCCAGAGTGAAGTTCTAATAACATTAACATCCAGATTGAAATGTAAATGAAATTAATCTAATCTAATATAATCTAATATAATATAATATAATATAATATAATATAATTCATATAGTTGCCCATGAGTGAACTTCCATTTAAAAAGATATCATTAAAATGATCATTTGGGCAAAAATAGTCTTTTGATAATTATTGTTTTATTGCCCAAACCTTATTTAAGGCCTTCATCATCATCATCATCGTCATCATCATTATCATTGTTGTGATCATCATGGTCGTCATGGTTGTTGTGGTTGTTGTTTGTGCTGTCGTTGTGTTCTGTGTTTGTGTCTGTGCTGACGCTCCTCTCTTCTCTCTCTGTGTGTCAGTGTTCGCTCCGAAGGTGATCGGCGTGGCGATAGCTCGCTATGACTTCTGCTCCAGAGACACGCGAGAGCTCTCCCTGCAGGAGGGAGACATGGTGAAGATCTACACCAAATCAGGAGCCAACGGCTGGTGGAGAGGAGAGGCCAATGGCAGGGTCAGTCCTTTAGAGAGAGAGAGAATTTCACTTCTTAACCCTTGTGTGGTGTTGATGTGTTTGTTACTCGGTGGTCTGCTGGACCCACCGCATTATTGTTTATTTAAATCAATACAACAGTTTATGTAAAAATACCAGATGTTTAAAATATCAAAAGTGTCCAGTGTAGGGTTCTCCTTTAGCAGCTGTAGCCAGTCAGCAGCCTGTCCATGTTGTCCACCCTCACACACACATACACACACACACACACACACTAACAGCAGGCCATGTAGTAGGGGAACAGAGTGAGCACCTCCACACTTTTACTCCCCGCAGGTTCACCCAACACCACATGTGTAATATAAATGTGTGGGGGGTGAACAGAGTGAAGACACTGAAAAATTTTATATGTTCTTCACAGAAAATGAGTAAAGACCAAGAATCTGAGGTTGAAACAATAATAAATCACGTAATTCTTTCTTTTTGGTAAACATTGAAAATAGGTCCCACAGACCTGAACACCACACAAGTGTTAAGTGTCTAAATATTCACTTCTGTTGTTTTAATGATGCTCTGGCAAAACTGGTGATCAGAGAGAGAGAAAAAAAGAGAAAGAGACAGAAAGAGTGAGAGAAAGCAAAATTAAAGAGAGAGAAAAGTGACAGAAAGAGGGAGAGAAAGAAAAATTAAAGAGAGAGAAAAGAGACAGAAAGAGGGAGAGAAAGGAAAAATTAAAGAGAGAGAAAAGAGACAGAAAGAGGGAGAGAAAGAAAAATTAAAGAGAGAGAAAAGTGACAGAAAGAGGGAGAGAAAGAAAAATTAAAGAGAGAGAAAAGTGACAGAAAGAGGGAGAGAAAGAAAAATTAAAGAGAGAGAAAAGAGACAGAAAGAGGGAGAGAAAGAAAAATTAAGGAGAGAGAAAAGTGACAGAAAGAGGGAGAGAAAGAAAAATTAAAGAGAGAGAAAAGTGACAGAAAGAGGGAGAGAAAGAAAAATTAAAGAGAGAGAAAAGAGACAGAAAGAGGGAGAGAAAGAAAAATTAAAGAGAGAGAAAGAGACAGAAAGAGGGAGAGAAAGGAAAAATTAAAGAGAGAAAGAGAGAACAGAGAAAGAAAGAGGGAGAGAGAAAAGATAGAAATAGAAGAGAGAGACAGAGAGAAAGAGAAAGAAAAGAGAGAGAGAGAGGGAGAGAGAGACAGAGACAGCCAGAGAGACAAGAAAGGATCAAAGAGAAAGACAGTTTAAGATGATTTCTAAAAGTAGCCAATGAAACCTCTAAACAAATAAACAAATTAAAACTCAGTAAAAGACACTCATTGAACTGTTGTATGATTTATTGATTTATTGTATTTATTCTTATTATCATTATGCTATTATTATGTATAATAATAATAATAATAATAATAATAATAATAGCTTGCTGACTCTTCTGCCTCTGCCCCTGTGCTCTATCAGGTCCTTTTGGAGCCTCCTGTAGATCCCTCAGCTAACCTCTCTCTCTCTCTCTCTCTCTCTCTCTCTCTCTCTCTCTCTCTCTCTCTCTCCTGCAGGTGGGCTGGTTCCCCTCCACATACGTAGAGGAAGGTGAAGAGTGAGTGAGACAAAACTGGAGTGAGAGCTGGACTTCAGTAAAACCCAGAGAGTCTATTTTGAAAAATCCAGACTGGACCGGAGCCACGGTGGGACTCTGAGAGGCAGAGAGAGGCCTTCTTTTTTCCTCTTCTCTCTCTCTCTCCCTCTCTCTCTCTCTCCTGCTGGATGGACACATTAATGGCTGGAGTTGAGCTCCAGGACGGCGACCCTGCCGGTCAGGCGGAACGCAGGGAGCAGACTTTTAGCCTTGACCTTTGACCCTTTGGACTAGACCGCTATCCCTTTACACTCCCGGCAGCCACGGATCTGTCACCAGAGGAGATGCTGGGTGTGTGTGTGTGAGTGTGTGTGTGTGAGTGTGTGTGTGTGTGTGTGCGTGTGTGTGTGTGTGTGTGTGTGTGTGTGTTGTGACCTTGAGTTCCACTTACCTGCAGCATTATTGATGAGTCTGTCCCCCTTCCTCTCAGCAGGGGGCTCAGGAGGGGACGTCCTCACTCCTTTCTCTCTCTCTCTTTTTCCCCATCCTTCTATTTCTACTCAGATTAAAGCGATAGTTTGTCAAAAAATATCAAATTCACAGTCTGGTAGAAAATACAACCCACTAGAAACTCGCTTGTCTGCGGTAATTCTGTTACCATCAGGATGTGAGAGTTTTATCTCCTTGGATACCTGTAATAATTTTTATTACAGCCGCCCCATAATAATCAGATCCAATCCGAACATGGTTTACAGAGTCAGAAGCCACATAACACTGCTGTCGGACTAAAACCTCGTATCTCTATTTTCAGTTTTTGACATAATGTGATAATATCTACTGTCCTTTATATTGTGTGTAAATTTCATGATGAATGGATGCAAAGAAACGGCCCAGAATCACTTGGAAAAAAAGTCTGGTTCCATTGACTTACATTAAAAGTGGAGTATGTTTTTTCCTTTTCTTGTAAAGTTACCATTTTGGAGTTACAAGGTTTTCTTCCAACAGCAGCGACAAGCAAACCTGTTAGGGATTATCAAACATTTATTTATAATTTATTTTTATTTAGCCTTTATTTTTACCCAGACAAGTCATTACGAGAGAGGGAGAAACACCTCTGCATTCTTTTAGGCATGCTAATTGGTGGAGTATAGACTTCCATTACTTGTTAGCCACATTAGCCTCATAGCCCCAGTGCTAAACCCAAAGAGGCAAACTTCAGATACTGAACTTGTCCTGACTGATTGACAGCACTTGTAGTAAAGTTTGGGGGGAAACCATTTGATTTGTAGCCAAACTATCACTTTAAGGTCACATTGTCACCTCAGTTAGAAATGATCTCCATCATTTTCCTGTTTTTTTTTCTCGTCCTTCTCTCTCCTCTCCTCTCCTCTCGTCTCCTCCCCCCACTTTCACTTTTCCACTTCAGAAGAGCTGGCTGGTTGTTGTCTGTTTGGGTTTTGCTTTGTTCTCTCGATATTTTATTATTTTTTTTTCTCCTCCGTTGTTGCTGCTTATCTCCGGAGATGTTCCGTGGGCTGTCACGACATGTTTATCTGATTTTGCGCGTTAGCGTATAGTCGGGGAACACACAACGAGAGAGGAGGCAACAGCCAGGCGGCTGACAGAAAACAAAAGAGCGAGAGAGAGAATGACAGTGAGAGAGAGAGAGAAGCAGCAGGGTCTCTCCATCCGAACGGATCTCATTAGATACTACAGCCACTGCCGGCTTAATCTACTAATGAGGGGGATTTAGCCACACATCATCAGAACACGTAGTTCTGCCTAATAACTCCCCACAAAGCCGTCTCGCAAACAGACTGACGCTGCGTTCACATTACAAGGTCAAAGAGGAACAAATCTGATTGGCAGGTGGTTTTTGAGCTCATCGTTCAAAATCTGACTCAATACAGTTTTGTACACAGTCCTTGATCGCAACATTGGTATCAGAGTTGATGTTTTTGCAGCAGCTTTAACTTGATTAAATATGAAAGTGCTGGTGCTTTCAGGGCTCAGGGGTCAGATATCCCTCACTAATGTAAACTGTCTCGGATCTGACCTGAAAATCGGTGGCTTAAATCGGATTTTTTGTAATGTCTGATTTGAGCAGGAAAGATTTTCTGCAGTCTGAACGGCAAAAAGCCATATAATATCAGACTTTTTACAATCACGTTCAAACCACTTGTGGTTTCAAATCCGATTCCGATCACATCTCTGGACATCAGACTCAGAGACTGTTTACACCCTGCATTAACATGCATTGTCTGTGATCGGATATTGATAAGATTTCACTCGGCCATGTGAAAAGCCAGGTGTAAACACACCCAGGACGCATGGTGATTAGATTACGATCACTTGGTAGAAGTCGCAAACAGATCTTGACCACATTCTGCCCAGGTGTAAATGGAATGTGTTTTCATTCTTTTTTGGGGATTTTTATCCAATTGTTTCTGCAAAATTTAGTCCAATTTCACCCGCTAGCTAACTCTCAGTCTATCACACAGCGCCACCAAAGTTGTGAGTTTAAAGGGTAGCACCAGCTTACTCAGAGACCCAAGAACCCCCAAAAAACTGGAGTTAAGTAGCAAAATCAGTTTCTCCTGCAGTGTGAGCAGAGCCGGTAGTGTGAACGCAGCCTAAAGTCCACTCTTTAAGAAGACTGGACCTCATTCTCCGATATCTTCCTAAGTTTGTTCTTAACTGTGTTGTTGAGAAAGGTCCTAAGAAAAAGTCTACGTCAGATTCATGACGTGTTCTTGAAGCGCAGAGCTGTTCTCACCTTTGAGCTCTTGAGTGTGTAGATTCTGTTCTCACCTAAGAACAAATCCCAGATAAGAAAACACTGGTGAATCAGAATCTTCGTCAGAACTGCGTAAGTGTGTTTGAAGAAGAAATTTCTTCTTAAGAATGGTTGGTGAATGAGGCCAATGGTTCTTCAAGGGTTCTATAGTAAAGAGAGTGGTTCTATATCAGACCATCTCTGTGTAGCACCGAAAGGCGTTCTTCTGTTGTTTACTGTCAAGCTTTTTGGTGCTATACAGAACCATATTCAACACATTTTCCATCAATGTGAAGAACCATTTCACCATGCAAAGAACAATTTAAGCATGCATGGTACTTTGAGTGTTCTTGGTTCTATATAGAACCATTGTCTGTGCTAAGGAACCCTTGAAGAACCATCTTTTTCAGGAGTAGTGAGCTTTTTGTGTGAATCGAATTAGGAGCCCTGGCTGCTGTGTTCCTGCCTCCTCTTTGATAGACAGATACAGATGTGTGTAGCTTGGAAAGGTGCAGTTGATGCTCTGAGGAAACTGGGCATCAGTTGTTCTCAGAAACTAGAAGTTCTGCCAGGAGAACATCGGCTTAGTACGTCAGTTTATATTCTGCTGAGAATATGAACTGCCCATGAACAGATACAAACCAGCCAGCTTTAAAATCCACATATGACAAAGGCTGAGTTCCCTAAAACCTATAAAAAAGCTCCATCATATTACTGGAAGATACTTTTATTTTGTTTTTTTTGCATTGGTTTTCATTTTGCTTTCGCCTTTGTCACATTTCTCTGTTTCGTCAGGTGTTACAGATAAATAATGAAGCAGAAAAATGTATTTTTTTCATCCCTGTAACATGAAGAAACTGTTGAAGGACCTTTAAGGATATTTATTGATGTATATAAGGACGTCTGAGAGGAGTTCTGTGACGTGCTTGTGACTTGCTAAGTGTTAATCTCATCCTGTTCTCTAGTCTGGCCTGGTTAGTCTGCAGTGTAGCGCTGCCGCCACTAGATGGCAGCACCATTAATGAATGAGTTCCCATACATCTCCTCATTCCCTCACTGTCCTAGTGCTGTGGTCTTTCCTGGTCATGTGAGCTGATTCTGTTTAGACACACAAAGCTGACGTCAGTCGGTTCCTATGCAGCAGCGTAACTACAACAGCTTTCTTTTCCTCTGTAGACGAAGCGGCTCTTTAAGGCCGGTGCAGGTTGAGGCCTCTTCAGTAGAACGATTATTATCCCTCACTCAGGGCCTGAGGGTGTGGAGGGTAATTGGGGTACACTTACCCTGCTGGTGACAAAGTGCTGGGCAGGCTGTGAGGTCTTTGGAGGTGGCGGGGGTCCGCACTCTGAGTGGATTATGCCTTTTATTCTGTAAACCTATGCAGTGTAAGCGGCCAGGGGCCGAGGAACGGGAAGGATGTGGATATTGAAATGTGATGCCCCTCCCAATAAAACGTCACTATCATATTTTACTGCTGGTAAAAAAAAATATAGTCGTATGCAAAAGTTTTGGCACCCCGGTAATATTACGTTTTTTGTCGATGAAAAAAATTAGTTACACATCCTCTACAGAGACACACTTCTGCACTATTTTAGACACAATTAATGTTTATTTGCTGAATTTCACATATATTTAACATATTGGGGAAAAACCTAAGTGTGGCCCGTGGAAAAGTTATTATGCATTTTATATTTTACGTTTTATTTTTTCTAATATGTTAATCTCAGCAAACAAATAGAAGCTGTGCACTTAGAGTGGCAAAAAATGTTACCTGTAGAGGAAAAAACGTAGTTAAAACTATTGCACATATATTAAAAACTCACTGTGATGTCCCAGTTGTGGTGTGTTTTACAATACTTACAATATACAATAGATTTACAGTATAAAATAATATAATGAACATATAATAATGTTCAATAATTACAATAATTACAATGGCCAAATTTGGAATAAATGCTTTATAAATGCCTAATATGGATGCATCTCTCAAAAAATAAATAAATAAAAGTCTAAGCTCTATTACACACTTCTATAACCTAGGAATAGCTCAGCCAGTGTGCACTGAAGTCTGTGTAGTTACTGAATAATAAGCCTTAGATTCCAAGCTATTCTAGCTGAATTTTCCAAGTTGATGAATTCTGTCATTGTCAATATCCACTGCCTTCCTACTCCCCTGGTAACCCAAATTCTTGGCCCCAACTCTCTCTGTCTGGGCTTTTCACCAGCGATTTGTTCAAACTCTTCTCTGCTCACAAATAGATTTAACCTTAACTACATTTGCATAGTAATATTTGGCATAATCAGTCTAATTTCCCAGTAATATTAGGCAATACTTTCAAAATTGTCAGCTTTTTAAAAATAGTGATTATTATCATGTTTGAAGGACGCACAGTGTCACTGATGCTGAGCTCCACTCTTTTAAAGCACCAAAAGCAAAGTGAGTGGTAATTGTGCCACCTTGTGGAGAACCTTCAGGTTGCTCAACATGAGTGAGTGAGTTACGAGCCAGGTGCTACATCATAGTCTTTAGTTCTTATTTGCCTCTATTTAAAATTTGCATTTTATAATTAGCCCACATGGTGTGTGGTCTTCACCTGCTGATGGCCAGATGTGAAAACTAACAATTTCCTTTTCAATGAATTTTGTCATTTCTAGACTCTAATGTTTAGACTTGAGAGTTTATACGTTAACTATGCACACAGTTAAGTGGCCAAGTAGCCAATCAGCATCTTAACACCTTTCCAAAAAAATGTCAGTGCTCAAAACTTTTGACATTGCAATGATATTATCATCAGATTGGTGAATTCTGCTGCCCATGTTTCAAAACTTGTATATCGTCAGTGTCCAAAAACAAAACAAGTATGTCTAAAATGATAACTTTACAGGAGAAGTGAAAACCATCTTTACTTTCAGTGTAAGTTCATGTAAAGTTATTATATCCCATACAGTTTTGGAGCATCTCTATTAGTCCACTCATCATGAAATTTTCACACAATGTAAAGAGCAGCTGCTGAGCTCAAATGAAGAAAAAAAAAGATGTTTTTGTTGCTGTTGTCGGAACAAAATCTTGTATCTCCAAAATAATAACTTTACAGGAGAAGCAAAAAACATACATTACTTTTAATGTAAGCAAATGAAACCAGACATTTTTACAAGCAATTTTGGGCCGTTTCTTTTGGTCCATTCATCATAAAATTTTAAAACAACATAAATAACAACAGGTCATTTCAAATTGAAAAATGGAGATAGAAGGTTTTGTTCCGACAGCAGCGATATGTTTTCGTTTTTTTGGACAGTGACAATACGCTGACCTCCAACCTCCAAAGAAAACGTTCAGCCTCTCTGTGCTTTGTTTTCATGCTACTTCAGAGTTTGCATCTCTTTCTTTTCGTGTCTCTCTTCCTCTGCGACTGTCCTGCTCTATAATGCCTGTTAGACGACTGCGCGTGAACAGTTGTTTAGTGGGAAAATGTAGCACTCGACGTGGCACAGCTCTGCGCTCTCTGCCATGTTGGTTTTGTTCTTTTTTTGCAATAATACTTCTGTGACATTTCCGCAGCCCTGTTAGAGCCACTGAAAGCCATATTTATACGTAAAGGACCTTGAACAAGAAGAATTACTTTGGTACTCTGAATAGGCCGTGGCAAAACCAAAGATGTACTTGACTCATCGCCACGGAAATGAGCCGCAGTGGCCGGTCCTGTTGCTGTGCAATTCCTGTTTTTCCACACTGAAGTACTGCTGTATTATACTGTACATATGTATATATCGCAAAATAAAAATGTATATTGCTTCTTTTTTCAAATTTGTGTGTTTTTTACACCAATTTTACTAACTTTCTTCAGAATTGAGTGTGTGAGATGTAAACATAGTGATTCAGAGTGGTTTGGTGTGAAATGGTTCAGATGTCTTTACAGTGGTGGTGATAGGAACCAGGGGTCGCCATGACTACAACATAAATATAGACATTTTATTTACTATCCAGAACCACCAGTGAACCTACATGAGTCTTCTGAGTTTATATGGAATGTTGATGATGGTAAAATCTGAAGAAATAAGTTTTATTTCAGGAACTATTTTGCCTTATAACACCTTCCATGTACCTTTTTACCATGAACGGATCAGATTTTAGGCCTAAAGCTTTTCATAAAAGTATCACAAAACAATGTCTTAGACATCAAGCAGTATTCATAACCATTTACTGTAATAACTGTCTGTGAGGGAGCTTTTAGAGGTGGACGTCTGGTTCCTATCACCACCACTGTGAACAATTTGTAAGTGAACTACCCCTTTAACGCTCAGCTAATCATAGCTATTTTACTATACACTTATTTAACATTTCAATATTATACACTTACATTTAATTAATTGCATTATTACTCACAGTTACTTAATAAAAAACATTTGCATTTAATTTTTTATTCCATGCAAAAAAGGTGAGACAATAACTTCTCATCCAATTTAAATCATAATAAAATAGCTCCTCTTTTGCTTACAAACATTAATGTCAGATAAAAGTTTTGAATCTGCACTTGGAACACAAATTCTCCATTTCTGTCAGCATGACTGTTGTTGCTGGTGTAATTTCTCATTAAATAATCAGAAACTTCTGAAAAAAATGTACATTATATATATATATATATATATATATATATATATATATATATATATATATGTATATATATATATATATATATATATATAGTAGTAAGCTTTGTCCTTCAAAATTTGATCACAACATTTGGAATAAAATTCCAAAATCATTCTGAATATTAATTTTATGAATATTTTATTTAGGACAATCACTTTATTGGAATTTATTATTGAAATGAATTGTACTAAAACTACATTCTAGATGTTAATTGAATTAGACCTTCATACTGGACAATAACTTTATTAACTATATACATTTTTCTAAAAATTTATATATAAAATTTATATATAATTTATATTCTAAATATTAGAATTAATTCTGGATATTAATTCATTAGAACTTCATTCTGGATATTAATTTTATTAGAACTTCATACTGGATAATAACTTTATTACAATTAATTCTGGGAATTAATTTATTAGAACTTAATTCTGGATGTTCATTCATTCATAGAAATATAATGTAAATTAGATTTTTCTAAGTTTTAACCACAGGCTGCTCTGTGGGGCGTGTTCCTCTATCCTTTAGAATGTAGTGGGTGATGTGCAGGAAGCAATATGTTTTCATGGTCGTGATAAAAGTTGACCCGGCAGACCTTTTTCAGCTGTTCACACTGATATAATCAGGCTGCGCGTCAGATGTTTGGATTCCCTGGCTGAGGGCTCTGTATCCCACAGAGAGCAGATATATAATCATCTACGCGAGCCGTCTGGTTACTGCAGTACAGCACGCGGTGCTCAGCAATACTCTGACTGAAGGGCTTATCAGCTCTCAGCTTCAGAGAACTCATAACTTCATCTGTAAGTGCCAACAAGAAGTTGTTGTCAACTTCTGTAGTCAGAGCCAAGTGTGGTTACGAAACAGCGATAGAGTGTCTGTGTTATCTGATAACGGGATGTAATGCATTCAAGAGTGAAGCACCTATCAGATCAGTGCGATAGTGTCTGAGGATGTGGAGTCACATCGCCTGGCTGTGTAGTGCAGGTTTCCCCAGAAACTGCATTTACACTGTCAAAATGTATTTATTTTTTTTAAACTAGTTTTTTGTTTTATTATCCTGCACTTTTTGGTACCGTTTTCAGAGGTCTCAGTTTTTAATGCTAGAACCACAAACCACTGCAGGATTGTAAAGCCTATACGGGAATAGTGCAATAGTGCTTTTGGAACCAATTCCAAGTATATATTTTCCATACATTGTTCAAAAATTATTTTTTTCCCCCATAGAAAGTTGAGGAGAACCAAATCTAACTGCCACAAATGATGTCACAAAGGACATCCTCTTGCATACATATTAGCACACATATGCAATGACCTGAGATACCGAAGCAATGGCCTAGCAACACCATAACAACCACCTGGAATACTATTGCATGAACTAGCTACACTTGCACAACAACCTAAAATACTATAACATGGCCTAGCAACACCTGAACAACCACCTGGGATACCATAGCATGGCCTAGCAACACCTTAGCAACCACCTAGGATCCCATAGCATGGCCTAGCAACACCTGAACAATCACCTGGGACACCATAGCATAGCATAGCAACACCTTAGCCACCATCTGGGATACCATAGCATGACCTAGGAAAACATTAGCAACCACCTAGGATACCATAGCATAATCTGTCAACACCTTAGCAACCACCTAGGATACCATAGCATGGCCTAGCAACACCTGAACAACCACCTGGGACACCAAAGCATAGCCTAGCAACACCTTAGCCACCATCTGGGATACCATAGCATGGCCTAGCAACACCTGAACAACCACCTAGGATACCATAGCACGGCCTAGCAACACCTTAGCAACCACCTAGGATACCATAGCATAATCTGTCAACACCTTAGCAACCACCTGGGATACCATAGCATAATCTGTCAACACCTTAGCAACCACCTAGGATACCATAGCATGGCCTAGCAACACCTGAACAACCACCTGGGACACCAAAGCATAGCCTAGCAACACCTTAGCCACCATCTGGGATACCATAGCATGGCCTAGCAGAGCCTTGACAACCACCTTGTGAACATACACATATATTTTCCCATCATTAACAATCTGGAATGTTGGTGATGATAAAATAGTGATAAATCTGAAATAATACGTTTTCTTTGGGG